TGATTATTGTTCTTGGGGGATAGTATTATGATTGTTTATAATAAAATATTGAAACAGAAACCGAAGAAATGTAGCATTCTGTAAAACAAAATGTATCTACTTCGTTTTGTGATTTGGCAATGAATTGTAATATATTTCTGTGTTTTTGCCATGCAGATTTAATATGGGCATTTCCACGAAAGGGAAAATAAAATCCTGGCAAATATGGAGTTCATATTTATTTGTTTTTGTTGATTCCGAAGGACTTGCTGAATATAATAAGGTATCAAAAACACAGGACATAAGGAGGTATGGCTTCTCTGCATGACACCTTTTATTGGGATGTAAGAGCAGTGGTGTACCTTAGAGCTCTTCATTAAAAAACAATGCGACAAAGCCAACTTGTTTATGCATTGCCTTTATCTGCACAAAAAGTAGTGCAGCATTAAGTTTATGTTCGATTGCATCAAGGTGGCGCCCAATACAATTTTACAATATTCTTATTTGATATTTTAATTTGAAAAACTCTATGCATGGAATACAATTGCATTAAAGAGAAGAATAGTAAATCGATTTTGATGTAGTTGCTTTATTGGGACATAAAACCGTATACAAATACTGTCATTTGATACAAACTTTTGGCCTCAACAAATTTGCCTGGCGCACTTCACGTAGGTGATGCTTAATTCCAATACTATTTTCCTCTACAATCGACTCTGTGACATTAGGACGCAATGCAAAGCGCACGAAAAGTCCATGACACGCACACCAAACAAAATAACACAAAATTATGACCATAAACGTAGACAGTAGGACGCCAGTGCTGCGATATCGTTGTGTAAAATAATGAACGACGATAATCTCTTGCGCCCCAGTCGTGTGTCCGCACTCTGCCAACGTAGACAGGACCATGCTAAATATTTTGTTATTTGAATACTGCACTCTCACCTTCCCCTCAGACCCCCTCCCCCTCGATGTTCATGCGATCTAAACGAATAATCGAAATGACTGCTAGCGCTCTTTATTTTCGGTTTGTTTGGCGATGTTTGATTTTGGATTTTGGTTCGTTGCCAATTTCATTTTGTCACTGCGAGTGGCACGCGACTTTCACATGCCAGCATTGGCAGCGGGAGGGACAATACTGCAATGAATTGGTAGTGGCGCTGATATGTGACGTTACGCTTTGACGCCTTGCCCCCAGCAGGCAATCGCTGTATCAGACTGACTGTTATTTTTCTAGTTCGGTGTTGAAATTTATGAAAAAAGTATATTCGTAAAAGTATTGATCCCTATGGTTGCATGACCAAGTGAGAGAATGAGGTGAATTCTAACGTGGAGATATAGGGCCGGAAAAATGGATAAATGCGCTATATTGTGCCAAGTCAATTTGGGGGTTCATCATTATACCGTCCATTCCACCAAAATATGAAAAGTATATTAATTACGTCACTTGATATAATTCTTAGACACCCCATTAAGCTTGTAAATTAAAGTCCATACAGCTCATATTATTTATGTAGAGCTATAAACTTGATATAATATTTGATATTGTGTCTATGATGATTAGCCATAGACCCCATATAATTATACCTCCCGAATTTGTGGTATTTTTGGGTAAATTATTCAACAGAATCAGTTGTGATTTAAAATTTCAGACATTCGAATTTAGATTAAATTTAATAATTTAAAATCCATAAATGGATATATTTATATTAATAACTTTATTAAAATATGTTTTTTCCCATATAACTCTAGTTATTACTTATGATAGCAAATGTATATGTTGTAGTTTTGCTTCTTTTCTTTTTTTGTTCTTGAAATTACTTTACCATTTCTTTTAATTAATTTTTTACTTCTATTTTTAAGACTGGAAATAAATTTCTAACTAAGTTTTACATCATTTTATGTTAAGGGCCTTTAGCCAACATTTCTGAGATAAAGAAATAAATGTCCTAGCAGCGTACCTTATCCCGCTGTTCAATTTAAATATTAAGATGGGAAAGTGCATGGGAAATAAAAACAACGCCTAAAAGTATGCTCTCTTATGTCTCATTATTGATACAATGTGGACAAAGCTTACGGTAACGTACTACCATAACGTTTTTATACCCTCAGCCATATGGCTAGAGAGGGTATATATATATCATTTGATACCGCCAAAACGTGCACCATCGAAATAACGGTTTTAGAACCAAGGTGTCTTTAGACCAAATCCAAATCAGAACATTTGGAGTCGATTTAGCAATGTCGGTCTGTCCGTCCTCCTATCTGTCTGCCTGGTGTGCACGATAACTCTTGAAGGTAGTATCCGATTTGATCCAAACCTGGTACATGGTAATATTATTATCAAACTTAGATTGAGTTCGGAGATGAGCAATATCGGTCCACTCCTTCTGGTACCTACCTCACAAAAGGTCGAGTTTCAAAAAAAAAAAAAAAAAAAATAATAATAATAATAATAATAATAAAAAAATTACTGCACATAGAGAGAAATGGTAATCCGATTTTGCTCCAACTTTGCAAATCCTAATACTTGCATCAGAGAATTCAATTTTCTTCAAATTACATGAAGATGGAATGTATCGGTCCACTCCTTCTTGTAGCTCCCCCACAAAGGGTCAAAATTTTGAATAACCAAAACGCTCATAAAATCCAAAATAAGCATCTGGTTCCCTTCAAATTAGACACATCACAATATTCCTTCTGGTACCTACTCCTCAAAGGCTTACAATTTTGAACATCCATGAAGCTCATAAAACACGAAATTAACATCCGATTCCATTCAGACTGGTATATCTGTATATATCCATCAACACAAGATCTGCGATAAAGATAGTACAGATCGGACCATTTCTTTTGGTACCTCCCCCACATAGGGGTCAAGATTTTTGAAAAACAAAACGGACAAAGAAAGCAAAATAAGCATTTCCAATACTTATATCTGCCATAACTTGCGAAACAAGTCGGCGATTCTTTACAACTTGTTTAATCTAAATATTTCTCTTAAGCAAAATCTAATATGAACATGTAATTTATCGAAATTTATAATTTATAAAAGTTTTAGATGAAGTATGAAGATGGGATACGTCGGTCCGCTATATCGGTTACCTCACGCATATTTCCACATTTCCCAAAAATTTGCACATATCTTTTATAAAGTACAGGGAGTAGTCGATATAGTCCAATTCTGGCACGTTGTAATATTTATATCAGTCTTAGGTAAGATACGATTTGGTCAATAATGCCCAACCGCTTCAGTACCTCCCCCATAAAGGGTTAACACTTTGAATAGTCATAACTCAAGGTTGGGGGTATATATCTGTCGGCAAAACCGACTGATACTAATTTACTTGTTTATTTAAATATTTCCATGAAACATTTACTTTTTTACCATTTTCCATCTGTCGAAAAGAAACGTGATTTTTGTGGAAAAAATAATTAAATGATGAGATAAATATCACTTCCTCATCAATTCTCTCTTTGAAATCTCACTTCCTATTTCGAGACATTATAAACATTTCATTTTGTTTTTGACAGATAGTAGTGACAAGTCCCATTGATGTTGGCGGAGTTTCCTACTGTCTCCAAAATAGTTTTTTTTTATTTATTTATAATTTTTTTTTAATTTTTTTTTGGTAAAATTAGGAGCTCGACAGTCGAAATAGGCTTTCTAAAAATATCACTAACCACAGATGAAAAACATAAACATACGTTACACATATCTACATGCGTGTGTGTACACATGAATGTGGGTCTCGAAGCGAGTACGGCATCTAGAGATTTTGGCTAACAAAAATAGTCACAATTTGTGGAGTATTTTTACTCCATACCGGAAAACGAATGCGAACGACAAATGTGTGTCATCTAAGTTAATGGATTTTCCCAGCAGGTCATTTGGCTACCCTGAAGTTTGGAGAATTTTTAAGATGTAGTGCCTTGGCGACAGGAAAAAGATCATGTCTCTGTTTTGTTTTCCTTGTCGATGTAATTTTGAATAGATAATAATGTAATGGGTGTAATGTGTAATTAATGACAGCACAATAGCTTATTTTATTGTTAATGTAGAGCAAATGTTTAAAATCTTGATAAATTCTATATATACTATAAACAGAAATTGTTAAATAAAGTCATCCTAGAATGAGCACGAGGTTACCTGAGCTGTTTTTTTAAGCTATACCTTTGACTCATCACATTGTCAAAAAGAATGTTTAAAAATGTTTGATGTAAATAAATAGGGAACTATTTTCTATTCAATTAAAATTTGAAAAGGTAAAAAAATCAGAACTGGAGATGCTTATTTAATGTGAAGTCATGGCTCAATAAAAAAGGTTACTCAACTTCAATGAAACTTGAAAAATTTAAAAAAATATAACAAGAATGTAATTTTGTGGTTGTTCCGCAAGATTGAATCTAAAATAGTAGAACAACACAGTTTTATCCCAAAATTTTACAATGTATTGCCCATTAACGTCGAAAATATGCATTTATTTTTGAACCGAATTTTAAATAATCTCAAATTATTGTATTTTTTATTATTTTATTCAAAACAATACACACACATGCACATATACGAAGACGTCGACCCGCTTTCGAAATTTTCAAATACCAAATTTGAAACAATTCCGGTGAATAATGTCGCTAAAATCATCAAAATACCGAATATCGGGATGTACCGTTATATAGTGGATATACGAAAACGTGAACCTACACACGAATTTTTTTGTCATAGGCTGTAGTACCCTTTACAAACTTTAAATTCGAAATTTGTTACAATTTCGGTGAATAATGTTGCTGAAATCATCAAAATACCGAATATCGGCTATATGAAAACGTGGACCGACATAACCCATTAACCTGCCTACTGGGCATGTATGCCAATTTTAGACTTCTATCTCAATTCTTGATTACAACAGACAGACGTACAGACAAACAGACATCGCTAGAATTTTACGCCGATCCAGAAAATATGTACTTTGTAGGGTCTCTCTAATGTTGCCGTCGTTTTTCTTATTTTTTTGCAGATTACCGCCTTTGATAGCACTCTTAATCATAGTTTGTGTGCAGACTTCTCAAGCCAGATTTGTAAGTACAATTAACAGTGTCGCCATTAACAATTAACTAAGAGTCTTCACACAACTCCATGTCTCCATCTTTGCAGTTCGGAGATAGACTTAAGCGGCAGAATGGTGCCAACATGTATTTACCAGCTAGTTCGATAGTTCCCGGTGGCGAGGGAGATGACCCCAACGAATGGACCGAATGGAGTTCTCCATCAGAATGTTCACGTTCCTGCGGCGGTGGTGTTTCCTACCAAACAAGAGAATGCCGGAGGACGGGGTAAGTTGTGAACGGAAAAGGTTCAATGTCTTGGTTGTAAGTGACTTTGTTTTGTATTTCGTAGGCCAGACGGATCGCCTATGTGTAGCGGCGGCAATCGTCGCTACTTCTCCTGCAACACCCAAGACTGCCCCGAGGATGAGCCCGATTTCAGATCTCAGCAGTGTGCGCGATTCAATAACGTACCTTTCGATGGCATCTTCTACAATTGGGTACCCTATAAAAGTGCTCCAAATCCCTGCGAACTGAACTGTATGCCAAAAGGTGAACGATTCTATTACCGCCACAAGGCCAAGGTTATCGACGGTACTCGTTGCAACGACGAAGATCTGAATGTGTGTGTCGATGGCCAGTGCTTGCCGGTGGGCTGCGACATGATGTTGGGTTCGAATGCCAAGGAAGACAAGTGCCGCCAGTGTGGAGGAGATGGAACTACGTGCCGCACACTCAAGGATCGCTTTACAACCAACAATTTGGCTACCGGCTACAATGACATTCTGCTGGTGCCAAGTGGAGCCACCAATATTCGTATTACGGAAACTGCTCCGTCCAATAATTACCTGGCCTGTCGCAACCTCACCAGCCACTACTACTTGAACGGCAACTGGCGTATCGATTTCCCTAGGCCAATGTTCTTCGCTGGCTCCTGGTGGACATACCAACGCAAACCACATGGATTTGCCGCCCCCGACCAGTTGACTTGCCGCGGTCCCATTACAGAATCGATTTATATTGTTGTCCTGGTTCAGGATAAAAACGTCAGCGTCGACTACGAGTACAGCATTCCCCAGACAGTTATTTCGAACACACCCGCTGTTTACAACTGGACGCACATGGAGTTCGGTCCATGCAGTGCTTCCTGTGGTGGTGGTGTCCAACACCGCAACGTAAGTTGCAACAATCGCTTCAATTTAGACCGTGTTGACGACCACTTCTGCGACGAAAGGACAAAACCGGTTGAAAGTCAAGAATGTGGAACTGAACCATGTGCTCCCCATTGGCAAACGGCAGAATGGGGCAAGTGTTCCAAGGGCTGTGGTTCGGATGGTGTGCAAAATCGTACTGTGACTTGTGAGAGAATATCGCCAACTGGAGAACGCACTGTGGAGGATGACGCCGTCTGCCTGCAAGAAGTTGGCAACAAACCAGCCACGGAGCAGGAATGTAATCGCGATGTAAAGAATTGTCCCAAATACCATTTGGGTCCATGGTCACCGGTAAGTATAATCCCCAATAGGTCAGAAGCATAGTCGTAACACTCAATATTATTCCAGTGTGACAAATTGTGCGGAGAGGGCAAGAAGACCCGTAAAGTTACCTGTTACATCGAAGAGAACGGTCGCAAACGAGTGCTGAGCGACGAAGATTGTGTTGAGGAGAAACCAGAGACAGAGACGACATGCATGTTAGCTCCTTGTGAGGGAGTTGATTGGATAATTTCCCAATGGAGCGGGGTAAGTTGAATCGAACCAGTTTCTAAAGAAATTTCATTGTGACCCAATATTTTTTCCTTCAGTGCGATGCATGTGGTCAAACCACAGAAACACGTACCGCAATTTGTGGATCAAAATCAGGAAAAGTGTATCCTGACGAATTTTGTGCTCCGGAAGTTCCCCTCCTTTCAAGACCATGTGAATCGAAGAAATGCAAAACCCAGTGGTTTACCTCGGAATGGAGTAAGTGTTCTTCTCCTTGTGGCAAAGGCGTTCAATCCCGCGTTGTTCTCTGCGGAGAGTTTGACGGAAATACCGTCACAAAAGTTACTGATGAGTCGAAATGCGATGCTGCCATGAAACCGGAAGCATCCAAGGAATGCGAAGGAGAAGAAAAGGAATGTCCAGGCCAATGGTTTACAGGTCCTTGGGGAGAATGTAGCAAGCTATGCGGTGGTGGTGAAAGACAGCGCGAGGTGATGTGTTTGGCAAATGGAACCAAATCCGACAACTGTGACAAAAACAAAATCGAAGCCTTATCGGAGAAATGTAACACACAAGCTTGTACAGATGACGAAGTCTTGCCTGTTGACAGTGCGGACAAAGAAATTTCCGATGACGATGAGGAAGATTGCGAAGATGAGGAAGAGGAAGACGTTAAAGTTGTTACAGCTAAGATGAGTGAGGATCTGAAGATCTCAGACGGAATTGAACTGGACGAAGAAACAACTGTTTCCTCATTCATTACCGACGAACTTATGATGAGTGACAGCACTCCTCCAACAGATACCACGGATGAAGCTGCATCGACTGACGCTCCCTTAACGACAGTTGAGGGTTCTGGTGATGCCACCGAAAGCACTTCTTTATCGTCCATGGATACTGAGGAAGGTAGTGGAGATATGGAAACAACTTCCGAATCTGGTGTCACTGAATCACAAACTGGATCTACAGAAGGTTCCGTTGGCACAGAAGATACAACGGTTGATCTATTGGAGACAACTGGTTCATCCAGCACTGACGAAACTACAGATGCACCGGTTACTGATTCGACCGACTCGTCCGCCTCAACAGAATCCTCCACAGATCTTACAAAGGAACCTGAGGGTGTCTCGGGATCGACACAGGACTTTACTGAAGAAAGTACGGAATCACCTGGCACTACAGATGGTGTTACCGAGGCAACAGGATCCACTGATGTGTCATCATCTACTGATGCTACCCAAACTACCGACATTACTTCCAGTACTGATGCTTCTGAACCGACCGGCGCAACAGGATCTTCAACCGATGTCTCAGGTTCAACAGAGGCATCGACTGAATCGTCTACCACCATTGACGTTAGCGACACCACTGATGCTACAGATTCAACCGCTGCTTCGGTCTCAACTGATGCTTCAGACTCAACTGATGCTACATCGTCGACAGATGTTTCGGACACTACTGACGCACCTGCCTCAACTGACGCTTCAAGCTCAACCGAAAATTCCGCCGCTACTGAAGATTCCACTACGAGCGATACTTCGACTGAGACATCCGCATCCACTTTAAGCGATGTCACCGAAACTACTTCCAGTGACATCACCGATCCGACGGATACTACACCAAGCGATACCACACCCCCAACCGACACTACACCAAGCGATACGACACCTTCAACCGACACAACAGCAAGTGATGCCACATCCTCAACCGATGCCTCATCCTCAACCGACGCCACAAGCGATACCACTCCTTCAAGTGACGCCACGACCGAAGAATCTGGTTCCACCGGTGTGTCAGAAACAACTACCGCCGCCTCTTCAGATGCTACAGACGTGTCGGGTACCACAGACGTTTCTGCCTCCACAGATGTTTCAGGCTCAACCGACCCATCTACATCGACTGAAGGTTCCGACTCAACGACGGATGTTTCTGAGTCCACTGACTCTTCAGGTTCTACCGAAGCTTCAACAGCAACAGAAACAACGGATAGCTCAGACACTACCGACGTGTCCGGTAGCACAGAAAGCTTTGTTTCTACAGACGCTTCGGCATCAACAACAGATTCCAGCGATTCAACTGACGAATCAAGCTCCACAGATGAATCAACAGAATCTTCTGGTTCTACTGTCACTGAGGCAGAAGCAACATTGTCTACTGATGAAACCTCAGAGTCATCTCCTGCCGCGTCCACAGCCTCTACAGACGTCGGATCCACAGACTTTAGTTCGACCATTGCTACCGACATCACGGACACCACCACAGACTCTGGAATATCTACCAGTACCGAAGCTGCCGAAGACACCACAACTGATGCCAGTGGACAAACGACCTCATCGGATACAACTGGGCTTTCCGATGTTACAACAGAGACAGGCTCAGAAGCCACCACATCCGGATCGGACACAACTAGCGCCGAATCAAGTGAAACTACAACATCATCCCAAGACTTATCGACCTCATCAGACGTTTTCGATTCCACGACCGAAAGCTCTGGTGACACTTCACTCTCAACTGACGAGGCTACTACGGTTGACATTTGGACTTCCGAAGATGATGAGTTCGAGAAGAGTACTCCCAATACTCTCCAGGCAGTCATTACCAAGGAAACTAGGCCCAGAAAATGTAAGCGCAAGAAGCCTAAAGATTGCAGTAAGACAAAATATGGTTGCTGTCCAGATGGCAAGAGTCTTGCTAAAGGTCCATTCGACGAAGGTTGTCCCATTCCCAAGACTTGTAAAGACACCGAATTTGGTTGTTGTCCCGATGGTGTTTCTCCAGCCGCGGGCAGCAACAACGAAGGATGTCCCAAGTCACAATGTGCCGAAACATTGTTCGGATGTTGTCCAGACAAGTTCACACCAGCTGAGGGCGAGGACGATGAAGGCTGTCCTGAACCAACTACCGAACCTCCAACAACGACTACCGAAATGCCTGAAGAAGAAACGACAATGTCGACTGAACCAGCACTCGAGAACTATGTGTCAACTGAAGAACCTGAATCTAGCGAGTCTACCGAAGTTCCCGAAACAACTGAGGCTCCAGCTACACCCGAAATCATTCAGTCATGTTCCTTTGCAGAGTTTGGATGCTGTCCTGATGGTACTACTGAGGCTACTGGTCCTGACTTTGCAGGTTGCGATGCTCCTACTCTTACCAGTTCTACGGACTGTAGATCCTCGGAATTCGGTTGCTGTCCAGATGGTCGCACTGCTGCCTCAGGCCCCAACTATCAGGGATGCCCAGCTTGCACTCACGAACCTTTCGGTTGTTGTCCAGACAATGAAACTCCGGCTCACGGTTCAATGGGTGAAGGTTGTTGTTTGAACTCGGTCTACGGATGTTGTCCCGATAACATCAACAGCGCCCGTGGCCCCAACTTCGAAGGCTGCGAGTGCCAGTACGCTCCATACGGATGTTGTCCAGACAACAAAACGGCTGCCCTTGGACCAAATAACAAGGGCTGCGACTGCGAAAGTTCTCAGTTCGGATGTTGCCCAGATAAACTTACTGCGGCCCAAGGAAGCAACTTTGAAGGATGTGCCTGTCACACGTTCCAATTTGGCTGCTGTCCCGACGGCATTACAGTTGCACAAGGACCCCAGCAGCAAGGCTGTCACTGCTTACAGACACCGTTCAAATGCTGTCCAGATGAAAAGACACCGGCCAAGGGCTGGAACTTCGAAGGATGCACATGCCTGGAGAGCAAGTATGGCTGCTGTCCCGATGGTGTCACCTCTGCCCAAGGAAGCAAATTTGAAGGTTGTGAAAATGTCAAGGAACCACCCCAGAAGGCGTGTGGACTGCCCAAGGAGACCGGTCCCTGCGGTGACTTCAGCATCAAATACTTCTTCGACACATCCTACGGCGCATGCGCCAAGTTCTGGTACGGAGGCTGTGAAGGTAATGGAAATCGCTTTGAAAGTGAATCTGAGTGCAAGGAAACTTGCCAGGAATACACCGGCAAGGAGGCCTGTTATCTGCCCAAGAGTTCTGGTCCTTGCACCGGCGACCTTACTAAGTGGTACTTTGATGCCGAGCGCGGCCGTTGCGAGCAGTTCAAATACGGTGGCTGCTTCGGTACCAACAACCGTTTCGATACGAAGGAAGAATGCCAATCGTTCTGTGCAGTTAGTGAGACTACACGTAAGTCGGCGCGATATACCTGAGCGACAGATTGGATGAATATGTATGTTTGTTTACAGCTCCCTGCGATCAGCCGATGGACGAAGGACCATGTGAGGGCAACTTTGAACGCTGGTACTATGACAATCAGACCGATGTATGCCGTCCATTCCGATATGGCGGCTGCAAGGGCAACAAGAACAACTATCCCACGGAATATGCCTGCAACTACCACTGTCGCCAGCCCGGAGTCCACAAAGGTTTGAATTATTTTCGAAATTTAAAACCAAACCATTTGCATTAGATTAAGCCACTGGCGTATGCTTTTGACGGTTGTGGTTTATTGTAATTCTCATTGTCTACCCCACCCCTCTCTTCTCATTTGGTGATGGATCATTTAATACTCACTCATTTTTCCCATTTTATTCTCCCCTTTCCACATCTCTCTATATATGTTTGTGATTGCTTGCTTTTTGTTTGCCTGCTACCCCTCTCTCTCCCAACACACACACATGCTCTCTTTACAAAAAAAATTTCAACACTATTGAATGCAAATGCACGTGCACGATCATGCCTGCTGTATGTAGATTATTGCTCGCTACCCAAGCAAACCGGTGACTGCAGCGAGAAACATCCACGTTGGCATTACAGCGAGACCGAGAAGAAGTGTCTGCCCTTCTACTACACGGGCTGCGGCGGAAACAAGAACAATTTCCCCTCATTGGAGTCGTGCGAGGTCCATTGTCCCAAGGAAGTCGGTAAGGTTATTCATTGCGATAAGTGTGTCCTCAGCCAAGATGTGAAAGATGTGTATGTGAGATTTAAACCCGAAGCGTTCAGTGGGTATAGTTAGAATATCCTTGCGTCCGTATGTAATAGATCGAATACATCCTTTTTTGAGTCATTTCCGGCAAAAGAACAAGGGACTGTCCGCCCTACATAGGGGGTGACATTAAGTTGTTCTTTACTAGAAACGACTGTAAAGAGGATACCTCGTCCGGTATTTAAGGTACTTCGAGACAATGACGAAGAAGTCGCATCTATGGCTGTGGACACGGGTTCAGTCGGTCCAACCGATTATGGACTTTGTAAATACCCATTCTATAGATCGATGTTTGTCAGCTTTCATCGGCAAGTCAATGTTGTGACGCACTGTAACCCCTTTCCGTTTCGAGCGATTTTTTAAATTAATGGACTTTGATTTTTTTCCTTTTTGTCAAATATAGCCAAGGATATATGCGAAATACCAGCTGAGACAGGCGGTTGCGACAACTACCAACCCATGTGGTACTACGACACGAAACACCAACGCTGCCGGGAATTCTACTATGGAGGATGCGGTGGCAACGAGAATAAGTTCGCTTCGGAAGAGAGCTGTATGCGCCGTTGTGAAAAGAAACCCGAACCAAAGCCTCAGCCTCAGCCAGAGCCCGAACAGCCAGCAGTCAGTACAAATGTCTGTGATGAACCACCGGCTCAGGGACCATGCGGAAACTTTACCCTCAATTGGCACTACGATAGAGAGCGCGGCCAATGCAGACAATTCTACTATGGTGGCTGTGAAGGAAACGGTAATCGATTCGAAACCGAAGAAGACTGTGCACGAAAATGTATTAGCCAGGCTGAACCTGAACCCCAGCCTCAGCCTCAGCCCGAGTCGCGTCCTGTTGAGAAAGCAGAACCAGAAACTGTGGAAGATAATATCTGTCTGCTGGGCCAGGATATGGGTGATTGTGACGACTATAGCGTCATGTGGTACTTCGATTCGCAGGAGTCGCGCTGTAACGTTTTCTACTATGGCGGTTGTGGCGGCAATGGTAACCGCTTCGCCACCAAAGAGGAATGTGACCGACGTTGTTTGGCCGAATCTGAACCTGAGGATCTGGGCAATCGATTTGGTGCACCTGAACCTGAACCAGAACCCGAAGTAGAGAGTAGTCCTGAGGTGGAGAGTAGCAACAAGTGCTTCCTTCCCGTTGCCCACGGAAACTGCTTGGAGAACGAGGTGCGCTGGTATTATAACAGCGAAGATGGTGTGTGCGATCGCTTTGTCTACACCGGCTGTGGTGGCAATGCCAACAACTATGCCACCGAATCCGAGTGTGAAGACGAATGCTTCGCAGTTCACAACACCTGTCAGCTGCCGGCTCTTTCGGGCAACTGCAACGAAACAATGATCAGATGGCACTTCAGTGAGGCCGAAGGCAGATGTCTCGAGTTTGAGTTCAGCGGATGTCGCGGTAATCGCAACAATTTCGTCACCGAACGGGAATGTGTGTCGATGTGCGGCGGTGAGGAGTCACAGCCCCAACCCGAACCCCAGCCTGTAAGTGGAATTGATGTCGTTGCTTGAAGGTGTATAATTTACTCTCTCATATTGTCCTGTAGGCATACTCGGTGTGCGATCTTCCCATGGAAGCTGGAGAATGCGACAACAGCACCACAGCCTGGCACTACGACAGAGAAAGCTCGTCCTGTGTGGCCTTCACCTATACCGGATGTGGCGGCAACGGCAATCGATTCCTGTCGCGAGAACAATGCGAACGCCAGTGCGGCGAATTCAAGGGAGTTGGTAAGTTTGTCTCTTTTAGTGTCCTTTCATTCAGTGCTAGACGGGTAAGTTTAATCGCCTTGAGCTCCTATTAGATGTCTGCAACGAGGAGGTCTCGTCCGGACCCTGTCGCCAGTGGCAGACGCGCTTCTACTTCAACAAAGAGTCGCGTACATGTGAAGCTTTTACCTACGGCGGCTGCCAAGGTACCGCAAATCGTTTCGAGAGTCGCGCCGAATGTGAGGCCCGATGCATTATCGGCCAGGAACCGACGTACACTGACACCAAAGGTATACTTGTAGCTTCATTGTAGTTTGTCTTTCTTGTTCTGGCTATCTAAACGTTTCCTCCCTGTTATGAGTCCAGATATCTGCAAGCAACAAGTGGACGTGGGACGCTGCAATGGTGAGGCACTCACCGAACGGCGCTGGTATTACGACGATGCTCGCGGCAATTGCGTGTCGTTCATTTATTCGGGTTGCGCTGGCAACCAGAATAACTTCCGATCCTATGAATCTTGTTATAACTACTGCGCAAGTAAGCCCAGTTTGCCTGCATGGGCGCCTTATTCCCGCACCTTTTTAGGTTAAAAACGCTCACGTGCACCGCCACTCTCCATTGCACCCCATACTTTGTTTTAGTTGCACCCATACATTTACACAAATTTATAGTTGCTCGTTTGCACGCTCATCCCTGTAGATTAGTTTTTAAGAAGCACGGGGAATTGGTTAAGGATGGTTTTGGGTTCTGGGTTCGGGTGATGGTGTAGATGTAACAAGAGATGATCCACACGTTCCGAATTCTAACTTATTCTGATACATGTTTTCCTTTCCGTTTCCATGCAGAAGCCGAACCAGCGGTTAATGAGGTGTTGCCTGTCAATCGATGCGAGCAGTACGAAAACGAATGCGCCGCCCTTTCCTGTCCGTATGGAAAGCACCGGGTTGCCGTCGACGAGGAATGTTCCCGATGCGAATGTGACAATCCATGTGCTGACTACGAGTGTCCCGATGGTCAGCAGTGTGCGGTGGAGGTGTCCAACGAAAGATCTGGAGAATTCAAGCCCGAATGCCGTCTCATCAACAAACCTGGCATCTGTCCTCGTTTGACCGCCAGCGATGGAGTGTGCGGTCGCGAATGCAACACCGACGCCGACTGCCGTGAAAACAACAAATGCTGCAGCAACGGATGTGGATTTGTGTGTGTGCACCCAGCCGTACCCACCAGACCGACAACAGCACCCACAACTCCAGCTCCGGTTGTGGTGTACCCAGAAGACGTGAAGGCATCTCTTGTTCCCAAGGAAAAGGCCGAAACCGATGTTAATACTCCATTGGGTGGTATTGCTGTGCTCAGATGCTTTGCTACGGGCAATCCAGCGCCAAATGTCACCTGGTCCCGCAACAATGTTGTGGTAAGTGCAACGTCTCACTCAGAAGTTGACTTGATATCATCTTTTCACCCTCTTGCAGGTCGACACCAACCAAGGACGTTATGTTTTGACATCCAGTGGCGATTTGACAATTGTGCAAGTGCGTCAAACCGACAGTGGCTCCTATGTGTGCTTGGCCAGCAATGGCTTAGGCGAGCCGGTGAGGCGTGAAATTGAATTGCAAGTGACAGGTAAGTAAGGCCTAATGTGCCCACGGTGTTTGAATTGCTTTTACTAACTTACCACTCCTTATTGGGACGCAATGTTTGCATTTTTCTTGGTTTTTCTGCCCTGTGCATGTCCTGGTGATTGGTTTTGGTTTGTTGCTTTTGCTTTTGCCTTGCTTTCCCCGTAACTAACCCTCTACAGATCCCGTTCCAATGCCTGCTTATGTGTATGGCGACAAGAATGTCACACAGATCGTTACACTGAACAGACCCGCGGTGGTGCGCTGTCCGGCTGGTGGTCATCCCGAACCGATGGTCCATTGGTGGCGCAATCGCAGTCGCCTGCCGTTGTTGAGTTCTCGCTTCGAATTGGCCCGCGACTATTCGTTGACGTTCCGTTCCGTGCAATTAACCGATTTGGGTCCATACACCTGTGAGGCATGGAACCGTCTCAGTGTTCGGCCATCGTCGATAAAGGTAACGCTGGTCGCCGTTGGTCCGGTGCGAGCTGCAAACAACGACGAGTCGGAATATTTGAAATATATCATTGAACCACCAAAGGCGCCGGTAAGTCAAGTGCCCACGTACCCATACAGGCCGACTAGACCACCAGCAGTGCCACCACCATACGTTGTTGTTGGTAAGTATTTGCATGTCTCAATTGCGATCAGTTTTGAGAATTTAATTCTAAACTCTATTGTTTGTGGTATTATGTTATTGCATGCTCTAATTTATAACACTGTATGTATGTGACGTACGGGACGATCTGAAATGGTCTTGGAAATTGTTCCAACTGGAATATGGAATACACCTAAGTCTGTTTTTACACGGTAGATTAGTTCCAGAAGAAGCCGTGTAAAAAAAAAACCGTGTAAAAAAAACCGTGTAAAAAAGACATTGATCTTATACAAAAATGGGTGATTTGTTCCTAATCTCTAAAACCTATTAAAATTAGTGAAAAACAAGAATTTTTATTTTTTTCTTTACCAAACACGTCTTATTGCATTAACAGTTCACAAAATATTAACACGTTTCAATTGCTCTGACCAGTAAATTTTATTGTATGTATGCACATAGTGCTATTCACATTTGCTTTGACCAGTAAAAATTGTTTGTACGCGTTACTCACTTAAATCTTTAAGCTAGTGTTCGCAAATTGTCGATACTATCGATGGTTTCAGACTTTTTTCTTTCATAAATACTTTTTTGTGCTTCGCAAAAATTAAATTTGACAAAAAAATTTAAGTACATAAAATTTCAGATCGTGCTAAATGGAATTAAATCGTGTAAATAAATTAAAAATATTCAATTTTCAAACCGTGTTATATCAAAACCGTGTACAAAAAGACCGTGTAAAAACAGACTTAGGTGTATTTGGTAATTGTATTAGTAGGTCCCCCAAAATAGTTTCGCAGAAATGCGTGAGAATTTCTCTCAATGAGCTCAAGGGAGAAGATCGTATTTTTAATCGTTTGCGAGCGAGCACTTCCGTTTCTTCAACCCTTGACTAGAGTCGTGCAAAGTCGTTAAACTTCCACATCCTATATTTTTGTCTACATTAGAGTTAGTGTGAAATTTGAATATAGGAGTCCAGTGTTTTGGTAACTCCGCTTCAAAAATTAACAAACTTAGCAAAACAACTAACAATCCAATATTCTGTGATATTTAGACCAGGTGCTAAAATGGACAAAATTACCTACCTCATTCTTGTAACTCCCTCTACAAGAGTGAAAAGTTAAAGAAAAAAACAGTGTTCGATTTTTTTCAATATGAGCACTTCCCTTTATTTTTACTTATGTTACACTAAGGTTTATGTTAGGGATCGGTTCCCTATTTCTAGGACTTTTCCCACAAGAGTTTAAAAATAGTTCATATAAAAATAATTTTTAATTTATTAATTTTCAATCGTCCAAATTCGCCATGTGGTAATATTTATATCACACTAAAGTGACGTGCGAGAATGGACAATATGGTATTATTCCTTCTGATTCCCCTCCAGAGTATGCCAAAAGTTTAAAAAATAGCTCTAAATAACTTTTTTCTTCAAGTGTTCTTCTCCCAATAATTATACCCTACACCACACTGTGTATTTGTACATTTGTTTGTAAGGTGGGGAAGGAGACGAGATATACGCATAGTTACTTTTGAGGATCTTCATAGAATCACTGTCTGAGTCGATTTTAACAAAATGCAGGTCGCATTTATTATCCGATTGAGATGAATATTTCCAAACAATATATGTTTGTCCCCAGAACAGATTAAGATATAGCTCCTAAATAAATCTTTAACTGATTTCGGTTGAAATGTGCAAATATCTGTCCAAAATCCTAAATTTAGGTACATCTGACCGCATTCAGTCTAGAAGCAAGTACATCAAATTTGGTGAATATCGGTTCAGATATAGTTATAGCTTCCATATATATATGTTTCATCCGATTTGATGTTTAAATCCGTCACATGCAATATGCATCCGACAAGAATGATGTTTGGTATCAGATATCAGGTACAGTACTCCTGAGAAATTTTATCAAGATCAAGATCTTATAGAGCTTGGAAATACCTTTGCCATATTTTATCCCATATATATACTTAATCCGATTTCAGATTTATTGTGCAAATAATGGCTGATATCAGCCCAAATCGAGTAAATTTCGGGACGTACGTACGATTCGCAAACGAATTCAGGCTAGAAGAAAGTGTATAAAATTTTGTGAAAATCGGTATAGATATAGCTTTAGGTCCCATATACTTGTTTCATTCGATTTTATATTCAAGTCTCTCACACGCGTAAAAATGCCCTCCACAAAATTGTAGAGATCGGTCCACATTTGCATATATAGTTCCCAAATATATATTTTCATTCGATTTCACATTTATTGTGTAAAAAAGGGTAATATCAGCTCAAAAAGGATACATTTTGATGAATATCGGTTCACATACATTGATTCAGAGTAGGATATATCTCCCATTTATTAGTTCCGCTCGGCTTTAAGAAATAACTGCTTTAAAGTCATAATACGCATTCAAAAGTTTCATAGTTGGTATGATTTAATTCTCATTCTCCACTAATAATACAACGTTTTTTTATGAAAATAACAATAATGAGATTAAGCCTGACCATGTTGCAACAACAAAATTCTAATTAATTAATAAATTTATGTGTCGTGGTATTGATGGCATTTTATTATTTAAACAAATAATTAAAACTTGTTCTCTTGCGTGCTCCCGAAACAGTGCCCGTCAATGCCGTCATTGGCAAGGATCCTTCGAATACCTACCAGCCCGGTTCCACTGTTGCCTTCAGCTGTTCCGTTCAAGGATATCCAACTCCAAATGTGACCTGGACGAAGGATGGCCTGCCATTGGTGCCCAGCGAACGGGTCCAAATATCAGTTCGTAAGTAAAGTCGTATTCGCATTTATTCACATCCCATTTAAATGGACGTCGGTCCATCCCTCCCTTCGAACAGGTGAACCTTATCGCGTGATTATCAACAATGTCAGTACCACTGATTCCGGCAAATATGGTTGCAAGGCTGCCAATGCTGTCAGCTATAGTTTCAGCGAGGAGAATATAAACATCGAATGTGAGTAGCTCATTGCTGAGTCCTGGGTATTCGAATAATAACTTCTTCCTTCTGTCGCTCTCTTTTGCAGCTACCATCCCATTGAATCCCGAGTGCATCGACAATGGCCACTTCGCCAATTGCAATCTGATCGTAAGGGGACGTTACTGCAAGAACAAATATTATGCCAAATTCTGTTGTAGGTCGTGTGCCCTGGCTGGTCAGCTCTGAGGTCTTTCCGCTGGAAGTCCATTGACCCACTTACGACTTACGCGAATCTTTCAATGATGCTACATTTTCTATTTGATACGATACTAATCTACTATAAGAGTCACTTAGAGAGGAGCCTGTACCCAGCTACCCTGTCTAACACCTGCAATATCGAAGAACGCACAAATTTTGTCCCCTGCCTCCCCCCTTCCGCCAGACGAGTCAATAATTCACCGTTTGCGTATTTTCCATTACTTAACCGTTAAGAGTAACCTCAGGCCATTGTAAGCGTTATTTGTTAGCCAAGTATGAATTAATTGTTAGAAGCCAAAAATTAACTTTTTCGTAACAGATTCCGTTTTGTATTTAATTTAAACGTAGCCACTGCTATTTAATTGAGATCCTTCGAGTCGACGGCATAGATTTCAATTGTAAACGATTTTATTTTATATATACATATTTTATTTTTGTTAACTTTAAGAAACGTTAGTGAATAATTTGTTCCTATTTATTGCCCGAGTCAATAAAGTAAATGCGATCAAGTATTAATTTTAAATTTTGCCTGCCCCCAACCCCACACCTCTGAGAAAGATATTCGACGAATCAGAAGCAACGAAATTAACCAAATTATGAAGATAGAGAGAACCTAACCAATTTAGAATAATAATCATAGATGACGCATGTAAACTAAATTTGTGCCTCGAAAAAATATAAACAAGAACATTTTTTTTTTATAAATATATATAAAGATTGTAAATAAATAAAAAGAAACTGTATGAAATATGAATACAAAGAGTTTTTAATATATTTTGGGGACCTAAAATATTTCATGGAAAGTAGTTCTGAATTGCTACACTCAGGTCTGGACATCGTGGGTCTTATTCTTCATTTTTTACCTTCATTCGGATAATTGTGGTCTTTATTTTAGGATGTATGCACTATAACGGGTAGCAAACTCTGCTCTGCATTATCTAAAGTAATGTAAAGTAATGAATAGAAACTTGAATGAATTTTCATTATTTCAAATATTTTTTTTTTTTTTTGAAATACTACTAGCGTTCCGGACAAAAATCGGACCAGTAGCATTTATTATGAAATCAATACAGATTTTTCTTAAAAATCTACATTTGAAATAGACAATTTGAAAGCAATAAATGGTCTGTTCCAGATCTGCAAGAATGTAAAAATATTTACAACCATATCCGAAATTTGCAGTCATAAATACACAGAAAGCAAACTACTAACCAATTATTTTACCCAAAAAATAAGTTATTCTTTGGCCGCTAAAAGTCGACAGGAAAGTGAAAAAAACCTGCCCAGGCAGTGGTACAGGGTATAATGTCTTTGTGATTTTCTCGTAACCTTTGACGATCTTCATAGAATTACATTCTGAGTCGATTTGTGTATGTCCGTACATGGAGCTCCGGTATATAATGTCGTTCGATTTCATAAGTATTGTGCACCAAATAGGTGATATCAGCCCGAATCAAATCAATTTTACCACAAACGGCCAGGCTCAGTAGAGAAGTATATCTGGTAATTTTGGTGAATATCGGTTAAGATTTGGATATGGCTTTCATATGTATATAGTTTTTCAATTTCATGTTTATTGCCCCCCCAAATGTTAAATATCGGCCCAAAAGGAGTGGATTTTGGCACATATGACCGAATTCAGCCTAGAAGCAAATAGTTACAATTTGGTGAAAATCGGTTAAGATATAGCAAAAGCTCCCATATATATTTGTACCAGATATCAGATACAGCTCAGAAATACCTCTGCCAAATTTTATCCATTTATTTTATCTTCTTCTGGATTAGTTTTATTTAGTATTTTAGTTTTTCTACATTTGATGAGAATATGATGTCATGTTTACTGTCATTTGGGTCTTTATATGGCATTTTCCTTTATTTTGGCCTTCCGACGACGACTTCCGACGATAGGTCCTTACATTCTTGACGGATATTGTCCTTAAGAGCTGAAAGAGCGAGGCTTCTTGACATAAGCCCGAGACTTCGAAGAGCCCCACAAAAGGAAGTTTGGAGCGGTCAAATCAGGCGATCTTGCTGGCCATTGCACACCGCCAAAACGGGAGATTAGGCGCCCGGGAAATGCATCCTTCAGCATATCGTGGCACGTGCCATTGCACCGTCCTGTTGGAACCGCATGTTTTCCAATCCCAACTTATTAAGTTGCGGCAAAACGAAGTCGTTGATCATTGCTTTGTAGCGCTCACCATTCACAGTAACCGTTTGGCCCGCGACATCTTCGAAGAAAAAAGACCCGATGACTCCAGCGAAAACAGCACACCATACATTGACTTCGAGCGTGTGTAATGGGTCTTCGTAGTTTACATGCGGATTTTTAGTGCTCCAGAAGCGTAAATTTAGCTTACTCGCTAAGATCTCTTCCTTTGTGGTGATTAAGGAAGGTTTGAGCGTATGTTAGACCCGATTGGCGGTCAGCAGCTAACAGCTGATGCACCATCTGGACTTTGTACGGAAACATCTTCAAATCTTGCACCAAAAGTCGCTGCAAAGGCCGTCGACTGATACCCGCACGGCGCTTCCATGACATTCTTGGTTACAGCAGCAATATTCTCTGCAGAACGGCCTGCCACGCCTGGAAGCATCTTTTGTTGTGCCAGTCTCTTCGCGGCGAGCGGCTAAAAGTCTCAGTGTTTCTCCAGTAGGCGTTGGATTGCCAGGAAATTTGCGACAAAATTCACGTTGAGCCTAAGTCACCGGCCGATTATTGGTCAAATAAATAGTCACTAATATTTCGCGCCCTAAAGCAGTGTGGCGTAACATTTTTTATTAACTTGTATTTCGCAGGTGTCTGCTACAAAAATGTCAATACAGAACTGACATTAGGGGCCAATAGTAAAATGTATAGCAATTTCTAACAGGGGGATTACTTTTGCGCCACCTTGTATATTTTCTTTAATTTTAGCCTTCTCGAAGTCATATCATGCACTCTATAGCAATAGTATTTGTTCCCAGAGGCACAAATGATTTCAAATTATAACTGACATAAATCTACTTCAGATAAATTCCCAATACAAATATTTAACTCTACTAAATATGCATAGTAGTGTAAGGTATAAAACAATCGACCTTACCCGATGTTTGACCTTTCTTTCCTTTCTTTATTGATTTTAATTAAAACATTGTGCTTTGACAGCAAAAGAAGATACCATATGGACTTATTGTGTTACCTTGTACGTACATCTTAAGTAATTAGACACACCTTTTCTCTTCTCTTCGAAACTCTTTTCTCAAAAGACCCACTACTTCTGGTACCGCCTGCACAAAGAGTATAATTTTTAAATAAAAATAACACTTATAGAATACAAAATGATTCCCCAATTGACTTTAAACATGACATATTTCAATCTTTCCAACAACGTTAGACGTTAGTATGTAGAAATATATGTTGGTCCAATTTTTGTACTGCCTCTTCCATAAAGGGCGCATTTCAATATGTATTATTAATTATATATCTATCGGCAAGTACTGTTTTACTCAGAATAAAATATAAAAACGTTGTTGAATATTTTAATTCATTTCGAAATTAGTTTTTCAATCTGGCAATACGCCCAGCCGACCATATGGCTAACGGTTATTTCTGTACTCCAATATTGCCTCCATCACCAGCTGATACAACTCGGACATGCGCAATGCCAGCGAAACAAAAATATTTTTTTTTTCATCACAACGCACAAATTGGGAAAAAACAACTTCGAATTTCATTTGGGCAAATTAAAATAAATTTAAAAATAAATTAATTCCAAGAAGATGCCACTTCTGGAGGACAGTGGCATTGAAAGTGAAGACAAATCATCGTTTGTTACCGAGGACCCTGACATGGACACGGTAAGTGGGAGAAGTGTGTGTTGTTTGGAAAAAAGAGATAAGGTATAAGAATTCATGGTGTGGCTTTCCTCGCACAGAGTACTCGATTGAATCATGACGACACATTGGACCATATGGCAGATTTGGAAGTGAGCTTTCGGGGAGCAATTGATTCCAAAACTACCTCATACAATGCCAGAGATTCTTCGCCCACACATCACAGTAGCAGTGACATAGAGGACCCCATTAAACCCCCCAACACATGTCGCATCTTGCAGCGGAAATTGGAATTGAAAGTTGAAAGGGCAAAGAGGAACTACACCCACTATCAAGAGGAGAGTGTAAGTGTTGTCAGCTCATTTAGATTCCCAAAATAATAAAAGTTCTCCCTCAGAAACGCAAATCTCAGTCGGCAACACTTATACCGATTAATCGCCTTCCCATACCTGGAGATGTGGAGCAAAAGCCTTTGGTAGACTACAAATCCGAGAGGTTAGTATGCCTGTATTCAATACTACCACCGAGATAACAACTACATCCTACCTTCCTCTTTCCAGTGACGAATGCGAGGAGATATCCTTCTTTCCATCACACATGCACAAAAGCCGTATGCGAAAACAAGCCGAGCTCACCGACACCTTCAGCATACAGGAAATGACAATCGATTCCGATTTGGAGTCGAACGATTCACAGAATTTGGAACTGTTGACGCCCCATCTGAAGAGAAGCTTTGTGGACTATCTGAAAACTTGCTTTTGCCTGCAACCTTCGAGTTAACAAAACGGTTTCAAAGTGCCGACAACAAAACTCTTTACTTGCTTCCAATACTCTGACATAACTAGCTCCATATATGCCCCCTAATAATAAAAAAAAGGTTTTCATTTACTTTAGATCAATAAAATTATGATCTCAGCAATCTCTATCTCTAGCCCCAGAGCGGAGAGTTGAATTTAATGCAACAAGTTTCAAATCACAGGTGTAAAGGGTGATGTATTAAGTCGGTTCCTCCGTCATTAAGTTTGTCATCATTTTGGGCCCTACAACGTATAGATATTCTTGATCACCATGGCATTCTATGTTCAATTAGCCATGCCTGGTTGCCTCTCTGTTCGTCCTGGAAATCGAAATTGTAACTTAGAGGAGTAGCGCTTTACACCCATAGTTTTTGTTGATGATCTGCTTAGAATCACGTTCTGAGTCCGTCTATGTATTTTAGTAAACGTCCGTGTATTTTAGTAAACGAAGCAGAGGTCGCATTTATAGCTCGACCAATATGAAACTTTGCACAAAACATTTGTTTGGTCCAAGGACGAATTCTATTGAAATTGGAGATAATCGGTCAATATTTAGACATAGCTCCCATATATATCTTCGTCCGATTTACTTTTTATTGCACACTAAATGTGAAATATTAGTCGAAATAGGATGAAATTTGGCATACTCAATCGAGCCTAGACACCAGTCTCAAATTTTGTGGAAATCGGTTCAGACATAGCTATACCTCCCATGTTATGCAACCAACTTCTTCATTCTAAGCCACTCGTCCGACAGCTGTTAAAATTATTCCAGTGACAGCTCATTATATTGTTTACAAGCGTACAAAACCATTTTGGTGAGAATTTTCCAGAAGAAAAGTTATTCAAAGCTATTTTCCAGAAATAAAGAATTCAAGCGCGATAGTGTGATTTCTTTATATTTGGCTGGAAAACCGCAAGTGGCTATCGTTGGAGCACACCAGAATTTAAATGTGAATAAATCTTTTGTGTCTCGTACCATCGCTCGTTACCGTGATACTGGTAGCGTAGCCCGACATCAAGGAAGTGGACGACCGTGGTGATGGTGTGGGCTGCCATAACAAAATACCGATTATTATCGCGAAAATATTTTGGAGGGTGTATTAAAACCTTGGCACGCAAACATTTTCGCCGCAGATCTTGGACATTCCAACAGAACTCAGCACCATCGCACTCAGCACGCGCCACCCAAGAATGGTTAGAAAATGCGGTTCCTCGCGTCACCAAAATCTCCTGATACCAATCCGTTGGACTATTGGAAAGCCAGGTTGGCACTAAAAATACCAAAGTATCGATCACCTCAAGCAAGCGGAATTGGGCCAAAATACCGCAGAGCATCATTCGGGCAGCATCTGACGGTTTCATTGGTAACCAATTCGAACAAATCTAAGCGTATTCTAAAATTTGATACTATTTCCGACATTTTTTGCTTTCATTCAATAAAATTAAAAAAAAAATGTAAAAATTATGGCGTCTGACTTTGTTGCAGTTTTTTTTATTTCACCCTGTACATCTGAACGTTTTGTCTCTATTAACACAACCCTGTCTATAGGGCGTATAGACATCACTCGATTTTTTTAAGTCATTCAGCTAAGCATAATTAAATTGCAATGAAGTTTTCATTGAGATTTTTTTATTAAAAATTCTATTAAAAACAGTCTTGTGGTTAATAAAAAGTAACAAACATGTTCAGTCTCGATTTAAGGTCAAACAAACTCCCTGCAAAATCCAATGACTCAGGTCCTCTGTTGTGGCCAGATCTGCTTCGAAAACGAGACCAACGCCCATGGCGTTGCGTCGCAATGAAGTTGTGTAGACCGGTGCCCGGAAGGTGTTCTAAAGAAAGGGAGAATGATAATAAAAATACCTGCTCTAAATGCTGTCAATTTCAAATACCCACTTGCAGTTTAAGCCTGTGAGATTCTATTGGCACCACCGACAGGATTGGAAGATCTTCGACCAGCACTTTAGGCAAGGACCGGCCCAGCTGCATACGTTCCATGTCCCAACGGGCACCTTCAATATGCAAGCCAGATATGTAGCAACCCTGAGTTGAGAATAGAAAAGAAAATGTTAATATCATATAATCTCTCGGCGGCTTAAGGGAGGAAAGGTGTAAGGTATCGGTCTGATGCGACGTATTTTACTCTTTTAAGTGTTCTCCTAATAAAAGCGTTCTCTTAATTTTAAAATTTAAATTCAATATCTGATGATTGTATTTGCAACTACTTTAAAAACTTGCAAACATGCAAAGATGGTATCGTGAAAACTCTCTTTCTCTGTCTCTCCCTCTCAGCATAAAATCAATTTCAAAATTTTCAAATGTGATATAGCCCAATAAAAATCAATTTTAAGTTAATCTATATAAAATGTTATGAGGCTCTTCTTGAGCATAGACATTCAACTCACCGTTACGGGTCTTTCTTCAATATCGTCTGGATCGACAAATTTTGTTACGCATGTGTACATCTGCGATCTATCCAAGGGCCAGCCATTTTTGCGACAAGCAATCTGAAAAAGATGCACGATCTGCGTAAAAAACCTGCGTAGCAATGCCTCCAACTTACCTGGACCAAAGCCGTCAGATAACTCTGTGGAATGTGCAGGCCCGACAGCCACATGACCAACGGTTCCCCCGACATTGACCAATATTTGAATTGAGTGGCACGACGCTGTGTAAAAAAAAACACACATTTAAGGACATCCAAGAGATAAGGAAAAAATAAAGGAATAAATCGATAGGAGATTTTTTGCGATTAAGAACAATTGATGAGGTTTTATCTTTTGCTTTACAAACTACGAGATACTGTCAATCAGGTGATAAGTTTGGGGGTGGGGGTGCCTATCAAATAGATAGCTTAATATTTTTATCATATCTATGTGTGTATTGTATTGTAGAGAAGGTGGTGTTGGAGTGCGAGGGGGTTGAATGTTGTTGATATTGCTTGTGATTGATTTATGATTGGAGGAGGAAGAAAAATAGCTGTAGTTTGTTATGGCCATCAATGCATTCATATATTACGGTGTTATTCCATATTTTTAGGGAATGCCATTGCTGATGGAATAATGGGAAATCCAAATTGAACGTAAAGACACCGACAATACTCTCAATTGCAACTGGACACAGGGCTGTTTTATATAATTATCCAAATCTATGTAAATCCGGTTATTCTCTTAATTTTTTTAATATAATTAATATAGAAAATAGTTTGTTTTTATTCGCAAAACGATAGATTAAATTGCCGGATATTCCCATTTAAACACTCGTCGAAAGCATATAGCCGAATGAATACCCTACAAGTGTACGCCTACGCTTCATCATCATCATCCCCATCACTTGGGAGGTTCACGCAATTTTTGAATGGAATGGATTCCTTGTGGCTCACATGAGTTTCGGCTTGTAAAAAATGATAAATGTTGCGAGGTATCGAAAGACAATTGCTCCAATCATTTGTTATGCCGAGAAGTTTATTGTCTTTGTGGTCGTGTAATCCATCGAGTGTGTGTGTTCGCATGTGTGCGCTTAAGCCGCTAGGCTGGGAGTGCGTTGTAAGTTTATTCAGACGATATTTGATATTCATTTACACGTGTACTGAGTGTGTGTGTGTGTCAATCACATGTTACCTGCAGATGTTCCATCCAACTGCCCAGCTGTTTACATGTATCTGGAGCCAATTTGCGCCAATCACTTGGCAGCAGACCGTTGAATAATGAATTTGCAATGTTGTCCAGAATATTGTCCATGCCGATTTCACCAGCAATTGCCTGTTAACGAAAAATAAGGAAATATAAATGCATACGTAAGTGGAATGAGATTTGAGACTGTGGTGGTGCGTGAATATGAAAATGTATCGACATAGAAAGATTGCCACTGCCTTGGCTTCGTCATCTTTGAGTGGACTTTCTTTGCAAAGCACGAATATAAATTGGCTAAACAAGTTTTCAGGGAACTGTAAAGTCAATTTTTTGAGACTACTTAAATTTGAATGCTATAGCATTCTTTTCATTCTGCATTAGCTTTAAAACGATTGCTATAACAATCAACTAAGAGGGCGACAATATTTCAAAAAAATTGTTACATTTTCGATTTGTTGGTGAACAATTTTTCCTCGTCTGGGTCTTAAGTAGTACGTTATTATAACTTACTCCGGCAAATACTCAATATTGCATTATAATATCTCATACTGTAAATGTGAATTGAATTCTGTTTCACAGAATTGACTTATAAAGGGAAAAATGAGATAACCTCAGTTGTTTGTCTTCTCTTGAGACGAGAGCAATTTTAGAATAGGGCGAAAGTCCACTTAGAGTCCTTATCCAAGTCTCCGAAAATCCCCTAATATCCATATAATTGCTTTAAAATCACATCCTAGAGTGAATTTATTTCTCAAAATATCCTTGAGTTCTTGTTGTCCGGCTTATGCTGACTTCTTGATTGCATATTAAGTATAATTGCGAGGTATTTTGCATCTTTTTGATTGACGTTATTTAACGTTAGAAAATAGGCTTTTTTAAAACGCCCATAACTCCTTAAATACTGACATTTCGGGGTTTTTGGCATCGTTTTGAAGGCAGTTATTTGAAGTTAGAAAATAGACTTTTTTAAAACGCCCATAACTCCTTAAATATTGACATATCGGGGTTTTTAGCATCGTTTTGAAGGAAGTTATTTTAAGTTAGAAAATAGGCCTATAACTCCTTAAATATTGACATTTCGGGGTTTTTAGCATCGTTTTGAAGGCAGTTATTTGAAGTTAGAAAATAGCCTTTTTTAAAACGCCCACAAATTCAGAATCAGTCCAAATAACCTGAATCTTGGCACATCGGATTGAAATTAATCTAGAAGCAAGTACATCAAATTTGGTGAAAATCGGTTCAGATATAGCTTTAGTTCCCATATATAGTTACATTCGATTTGGTCTTTTAGTTCCTCACATTCGTAATATGCATTCGTATCAAGTATCTTATGGAGCTCGGAAATGCCTTTGTCAAATTTTATTGAGATAGGCTGAGATTTGGATATAGCTCTCATATATATTCTTAATCCGATTTGAGGTTTGTTGTTTATTAATGGCTAATATGAACCCAAATGGGGTGAGTTTCGGGACGTACGTTTCCATTTGGCTTAACTAGGCTCCGATATATATTTTTTTAATATAATCCTTCTCGAAGTGATATCATGCACTCTATAGCAATGTTATTTGGTATAAAAGATAAAAATTTAGTGAAATTCGATTCAGAATTGATACAATTAGAGGACATTTGTTTGTATTTAGAAGGCTTCGTGTCCAAATTTTTAACTTGTGTCACCATTAGCATTATTTAAATATTTTGGTTTTTAGTGGATAGTAGTGGTATTTTGGAACAGACCTTCCTATTTAGATTTCGACGGTTTTTTAGGAAAAAATATGAGGCTTCAATGCATTTTCTAACGGACTTGGGCATAATTAAGGGTTTCCTCATGCTGGTAGACATACAAAGTTCCACATAATTGAACTTTAAAATAATCCTCTTAGCCTCTTCCTAGTCAAATAATTCTTGAACTATACCATGACAAATTATAAAATTTCTTACATACCTTTATCCAAACTATCCAATTATCTTTTTTTTAATAGGAAAATCGCGTTCAGACGATAATGAGGTCACGCGCATCAACTTATAAATTTTCTAGCTCTCATACTTTTTTATTTCTAGCTACGTAGCTTAATGTTTTCATTTGTAGTCCTAAAATTCCGTTACATTAAATGTAATTGAAACTTGACAGTGCTCTGTTCAAGGTTTAGTGAGGTGGTGTTGGTATCACATAGCCCCTATTTTCGATGGGTTCTTATTTGTTTATTTATTGAAATGCAAATACAACTTTGGCCGACATTCAATGACAAGCATGTCTGGCAAATTATTTTGCAGAAAATTCAGCTACAATGCCTTCATTGAATCACAGGCAAGGGAGAATCTGTCCAAATTGTTTTTGGCTCTGACTTCTGTTTGTGAATTGCAACGCATAAAAGTTAAGTAATGCGCCAATAGTTTCGAATAGCTGGTTATAATTTATGTTGTGATGTTTTAGGAAATTTGCAGACGAATAATAATTTATGTTTTCATGTGGGTGATATATATATAAGTATGTCTGGTATTATGTGAGCAATAATGTATTTTACTTTTGCTGAGCCGTTGCAATTTCATTAAAATCTCCAAGACAGTCATATATTTATATTTTGAAAACCGTTACATTTTAGCTTTTATTTAAATAAAAGCTTTTTGTTTTCAGCTTTTTTTAATAGTTTCGCAAAGAGTACGAATTCTTTCACTTCAGAGTACTTTCCAAATCTTCAAATTAAATGGTATTGGTGCCTTCGCAAACATATACAGGGTGAGATGAAAAACCTGCAACCAACTTCAGACAGCTGTCATTTCTAAGCCACTCGTCCGACCGCTGCTAAAATTATTCCAGTGAAAGCTCATTATATTGTTTGCAAGCGTAGAAAAGCTTTTTGGTGAGAATTTTCCAGAAAAAGAATTATTCGTAAGGAATTCAAGCGTGATAGTGCAATTTCTTTACATTTGGCTGGAAAACCACAAGTGGCTATCGTTAGTTGCCTCCAGCATTTAAATGTGAATAAATCTTTTGTGTCTCGTACCATCGCTCGCTACCGTGGTACTGGTAACGTAGCCCGACGTCAAGGATGTGGACGGAAGAAAACAGCAACATCAGAAGAAATGGTTCGAAAAGTGCAAGAGCTTACACCGCAACAGAGAGCTAAAGAGTTGCTTCGCTTGGCCGAAAGTGGTGAACTGCCAAATTTGGTTTTCTCCGATGAGAAGACCTTCGTTGTCCAGCAGTTCGTAAGCAAAAAAAAAAAAATGATCGTGTTTACTTGCCAAAGAGGTCAGCTGAATATGCACCTTCGGTTAGCCACCAGAATTCAAGCGCCGACCATGGTAATGCTGTGGGCCGCCATAACAGCCGAGGGTCGTTCTCCGCTCGTAGTAATCGACCGTGGCATGAGAATAAAAAGTCCGTATATTATCGCGAAAATAATCTGGAGGGTGTATTAATGCCTTGGGCCCGCAAACATTTTTGCGTAGACCTTGGACATTCCAACAGAACTCAGAACCATCGCACTCAGCACGCGCCACCCAAAAATAGTTACAAAATGAGGTTTCTCGCTTCATTTCCAGCGCACAATGGTCACCAACATCTCTGAATACCAATCCGTTGGACTATTGTGTCTGGAGTATTTTGGAAAGCAAGGTTGGCACTAAAAAATATCAAGGTGTCGATCACCTCAAGCAAGCGCTTCGCCGGAATTGGGCCAAAATACCGCAGAGCAACATTCGAGCAGCGTCTGACGGTTTCATTGGCTGTTTGAAGGCCATAATTAGTGCCAAAGTTGACCTATTCGAAGAAATCTAAACTTATTCTAAAATTTATGCTGTCTCCGACATTTCTTGTTTTCATTCAATAAAATTAAAAATGATGTAAAAATTATGGCATTTGACTTAATTGCAGTATTTTTTATGTCACCCTGTATATATATATAATATACTGCATGAGGTTGTTTCTCAGTGAAAATTATGAAGGTTCTAAGACTTTCCTAAAGCAGTCCTACATATGAGATTTTACAACACCAGGTTCCACTCTTTTACAAAGTGGCCTAAATTTTTAGGAAATTTGTATCAGGTAAATGTCTGTGAGTAAACTACACCTAAAAAGTGTTAGCGTTCTGCGTTTGCCTCATATATTTTCCATGCAGTACTAACTTCGAAGGTGCTAGGAATTATTTTTATAATTTATTTAAAATGAACTAGAATTAGGACACATTTGCATACATATTTTTTTATAAATACACATATGCATATGAATATAGAAAAAGCTTTCATTGTAACTAAGAAACACTAATTGTGAACGGAAGATGTTATTTCTTTGCATTTTTTTTCGCTCAAAACATTAAACCATTCCCCGTTTTGTCTCTCTTGCCACAAATTATGCCACACAAATTACACCAAAAATGCATTCAGTCAGTCAGTTAGTCAGTCATTTGTTGGTGGTTTTGGTCGTGGATGCCTCGCAAAACTTTAATAAGAAAAGTTTAATTAAAAGAAGTAACTGAAACTGAAACAGTTTCTCATTTTCAGTGGTTTTGCATATTCGTGTCGTTGCATGTTCATGCGGGTGATTATGTGGCAGCTGCCTGATGCAAGTCAAAGCTGGCATTTGCATTTAAATGATTTTTGCTACCTACGATTTGGAAGTGGAATTGCAGTAGAACGTCCTTCTTTTGAGATTCTTTTTCATGTTTGGATGTGTGCGGATTTGTTTTTGTTGTGTGCGGCAACTTTATTTGCCAATTTGCTTGTAATTATTCAGGTGATAATCTGTTGCAATTGCACCTACCTTCCTCAGCAGTTCGAGAGTTTTCTTAATGCGTGTAACCAAGAGATTGAAACGATCCAATTCCTGGAGTAGAACAACGCCAGTCGGTGTGAGACTCATTTGAATTTGTTTCTTGACACGCCACGTTTCAAACGCTGCCGGCAGTTTCTCCAAAATATCAGCAGCTACATTATCAATGAAGTCATCTCGACTGAGGCCGCCCGATGCCTCTCCTAGATATGGGAATGGAAATTAAATAAATTTTTGTTAATGTTTATGATTCAATCAATTGATAATCTAAGTATGGAGTATTCCCCCATTGGCTTAACTTAATTTTGGACTCTATTCCAGAGAGTTATGTTTTTAAAACAGCTTCGGAATATTTTCTGATCGCTACCAATATCATGATTTATGATGATTTTTCGGAAAGGTAAACAGCAAGTGTGATTCTCATTGACTCTACATGAATGCTCTACATTGGCTGCCTGGCTTTTCATCAAAATGATCATAGACAAGTAACAATTCCCCTTCCCCGGGGTGAAATCATGATATTGATAGCGATAAGCAAATGTTACCAAACTGTCAGATTCGGTTTAAAAAACATTTCTTCAGGAATACTCTAGACTTATGCAATCAATTGTTATTTAAAAAGTTTAAAAAAGTATTTTATTAATTTTATTGTTCATTTCTTTTATTCTCACATTTAAATGATGATAAATATTTAATAATTTTAGAATTCATATTGGTTTTTTTTGGAAAAAAATTGAAAACCGTAATTTGATCAAAACGAATAACTGATTTTAAAAAAATGAAGAAGAAAGAAAACAATTTGTGTAGAAAGCTTCAGTCGCAACAACTCTGAATGCATCTGAAATTTCTGGAACAGAATTTAAATTCTCATTACCTTTTTCCGAAGGCATCCATGGGTCAGCTATAATTTATGTATGTTTATGATAGAATGTATTAAAAATGTTTTTTTTTATGTTTTAATTTTTTTCATATATATATATTGTTTTTTAATGTTTTTTTTTTTTTTTTATTCTGATTATTTAATAAAATAACATTAGAACATTTAAATACTCAAATTGTAAGAGAAGAGAAATATCATAACATGTGAAGTAAGATGTTTGGTGTTGTGTTTGTCTACAAACATAAAAAAATCCAACATCAATTAAAGCTTTAAATCATGTAAAATACCCGCAGCCTTGAGTTATGATTGTTGAAACTGTTGATCCTTTATGGGGGATTTGTAACTGACCTAAGACTGAAAAAAATATTACAACGTGCCAGATTTGGACTATATCGACCATTACCTACACTTTATATGATATATGTGCACTTTTTTGGAATATGTGGAAATATACTTTAGCGGACCGAAGTATTCCATTTTCATACTTCATACAACATTGGTATGTGCAAATTTTGAAGGAAATCGAAATGCAAAATCATAAATTTCGAAAAATTCCATATTCATATCAGATTTCTGGTTAAGAGAAATATTTAGATATAGCAAGTTGTAAAGAATCGCCGACTTGCAAGTTATAACAGATATATGTATTGGAAAATGTGACCCGTTGTGGGTGAGTTACCAGTAGGGGTTGGCAGATATATATCATCTTCACAACAGATCTTGTGTTAGCAAAACTATTTGGAGGTGTGAAATATGAAGAGAGTTGAGAGTTGCTTATCTCTCTTTGGGCGTTTTGTTTTTCAAAAGTGTTGTACCCAGGGGGTTACCACAAGAAATGGTCGGATCTCTACCATCTTTATAACAGATCTTGCGTGTACATATTGAGATGTACCAAGTTTGAATGGAATCGGATGTTAGTTTCGTGTTCTATGAGTTTCATGAATATTTAATATTTTGACCCTTTGTGGGGGAGGTACCAGAAGGAGTGGACCGATATTGCCCATTTCCGAATTCGATCTAAGTTTGACAATAATATTACGATGTACCAAGTTTGGATGAAAATCCTTTGAGAGTTATCATGCACACCAGCCAGACAGACAGACGGACGGACCGACATTGCTAAACCGACTCTAAATGTCCCGAAACGGATTTGGTCCAAGGAGACGTAGGATCTAAAACTGTTATTTCGATAAGGCACGTTTTGGCCGTATCAAATGATATATACCCTCTCTAGCCATATGGCTGAGTGTAGAAAAAGGTTAAGAGAAACAATGCATTCAGATGTACTAACCGCAGTAGCAAGTGGCAACTATTCATGAATGTGATTTCAATCCCCGTTTACATTCAAATTAACTGTAATTTGACATTTCGAGTTCTCTCTTCCCAATACAAAGGAAAATATACATTTTCGGGATTTTTTATACCCTCCACCATACTATGGAGGGTATATTAACTTTGTCATTCCGTTTGTAACTCCTCGAAATACTCATGTCAGACCCAACAAAGTATATATATTCTTGATCAGCGTAAAATTCTAAGTCGATTTAGCGATGTCCGTCTGTCTGTCTGTCTGTCTGTCCGTCTGTCTGTCTGTCTGTCTGTCTGTCTGTCTGTCTGTCTGTCCGTCTGTCTGTCTGTTGTAATCACGCTATCTTTCGAATAAATTGAGATAGATGGCTAAAATTTTGCACACATGTTTATTTTTCCAGTAGGCAGGTTAAGTTCGTAAATGGGCCATGTAGGTCCACGTTTTCATATAGCTCCCATATAACGGTACCTCCGGATTTTCGGTATTTTGATGATTTTAGCGACATTATTCACGGGAATTGTTTCAAATCTGGTATTTGAAGTTCCAAATGGATACTACACCCTAAGACAGAAAATTGTCTTTGCAGGTCCACGTCCTCGTATAGCCCCAATATAACAGTACCTCCCTATATTTGGTATTTTGATGATTTTAGCGACATTATTCACTGGAATTGTTTCAAATTTGGTATTTTAAGTTCGTTATGGGAACTACCGTCTGTGACAGAAAATTGTCGGTGCGGGTCCAGTTTCGAATTTGAATATGGTAATGGCTTATGACAAACAATGCATATGTATGTCCACGTCGTATAGACCCCAACATAACGGCTATATTCGGTATTTTTAAAATTTTAACAGAATTTTTTAAGGATTTTATTTTTTGAAAATTTCCAAATTCGTTGTAAATGGTGGAGGGTATTAAAAGTTCGGCCCGGCCGAACTTACTGCTTTTTAACTTGTTAGATAGTCAACTTGGCTATAAGTCAATTCGCAGTAAATTCGGTACAAAATTGTGGGTAAACATTAAACATTTCAAAAATTGTTTAAATGTGGACCGATATAACCCATTTTCGACACAAATCAAACAAAATATAAACCAAACTTTTTTCCTCAAAATTCAAAGTTCTACATAAAGCAGTGTGGCCTATATGTTCCTATAAACGGTAGGATATAGGAAAAATGTTATGTATTGAATTATGACAATGCGTATAAAAAGATGAATATGTATGCTGTTTAAATATGTATGTATGTATGTATGTATGTGTGTGATAATACAACATAAAGTTTTAACGGTGCCAACAAAAAAAAAAAAAAGGAAACTAATAACTAACCCTAAACACTTTATAAAAATAATTTACAACATTTCAATAGATGCATTGCCCCGGACTACAACAAATAGATACATACATACATATGTATGTATATATATACACATTATGCCAGCAACAGTTAACAGTGTGGTGGAGAATCAATGTGTCGGCTATGCCGGTAATGATGCTCCAAACCACGGCAATGACAATGGCGGTAATGTTGTTAGCACCGGTGATGGCCATAATTATGATGCTGATGGTGATGATGACGACGACGGTGGTGGTGGTGGTGGTAGAATTTGTGATAATCACGACAATGATGATGCTGGCCGGTCGGCCGATAGCGGCAATGGCGGTGGCGGTGTAAATGGCAGGCGGTGTGCAATAAAGTTAATTGCAAAACCACAACTAATTAATTAAATTTAATTCAATTCAATTGAATTGAATATCTATAATAAAATATGTATGAATTCATTCATGTTTTATGTGCATTTTGTTTGTGTCGTTGTCGTAGTTGTTGTTGTTGGTGGTGATGGTGCTCTGGTTTTTTGTGAGTAGCTTTGCTTTTTTTCCACCTGCACATCAATTGGCAGCCGTGGCAACTATTATTTGTTGTTGCCATTGGTCGGTCGTAACTGTGACTGAACTAATAAAAAATCAGTCAGTCAGTCAGTCCGTCAGCCTGGCACGCAGTTTGGCGAATGCAAATTTTTGGTGGTGGCCACCGCCAAAGTAATTAAAAAAATAAAGGATTACTCTGCGGTTGGTGTAAAGCAATACGGCGAATTGAAAGGACAGTGCAATGGCCGCAAATGAGTGCTAACAATTGCAGGATTAAGTCGACATGCGATTCAAACTCAATTCAGTGGCAACGACAAGTTTCAGCAACGACTCACCGGTTTGTGGCTGGAGTTCTATTAACGAATTCCAGATGCTGCGTGCGGCCTGGGTGTAGTAACCGATTTCGGCATTCGGATGTAAACCAAAAACGTCTGGCTTATTGACAAGTGGCAGTTGGTCAATGTGAGCTGTGGCATGGAAGAGGAAAACAAAGAGAGTTGGCCAAAAGATTTTTTTTTTTCAAATTTCGTATTTGTCACCAATGAAATCCTCCTTTTGCACCACGTCCGAATCTGGCAGATAATAATCGGAGTTGTCATCTTTATAGAAATGGAATGGTTGTGAGGTATCGAAAAGAAAGTCGCCCATATACTCATCCATATAGCAACGGGTTATGCGGCGATCAAAATCGTCTATGACCCGTCCTCCGTACATAACCTAAAAGGGAGTTGAAGAAACAGCGTTGGAAATTCGTCTAATTAACGATGTATGTATTCTCACCTCTCCAATCAGGTATTTCAAGCTGTTCCACGGCACTTTGTCGTCGGATATTTTATTCAAATATGTCTGCAAGATTTCCAAGCATACATTGAAATCCGATTCATTGAAATCATAGCAGATGTTCCATCCAAGTTTGTCATATTTTCGACGTTCCTGTGGGGAAAAAATTAGATGTTTATAATTTGAGTCTAAATTACTTTGTAATTTGTAGAGTAACTATTTGAAATTAAATAATTATACTTGGCATTTAACTTCTTTCTATTTAAATGGCCTGTTTTCTAAAGATAGATAGATAGGCTTCAAGTTTGAAAGAAAACGGAAATAGTTTTCATGCTAATGGACTCCAGAAAAAACATGTTCTCGTAAAAATAGATAAAATAAAATGGAAGGAATTTCTATATGGGATTTGGAATATTTAATTTGAATTTAAGAACTTTTCAATTGAAATTAAACATAAATAAAATTAATAATAAATATATAATAAATAAAGTTTTAATAACTTTTTATTAAATTTCATAAATTTGTAGTTTTATTAAAACAATGTTTCTTTGCCAGCAGTCGGCACCACTTGCCAATTGGCGGTATGGCATGTTCCAAGAGTCGGCAAACCAAATTTTTTGTAAGAATAATTAATAATAATAATAAATTAATTCATTAAAATATAATATTTTTGTTTAGTTAAACTGATTCGACGTCTTTATTGTACTTTTCTTAAGACTATGGATTGTTGAGGACCTTCACAGACAAAAATTTAATTTTTATTAGAACAAATCATCTATTCTTTGCGAAATTGTACACAAAGATAGCTGACAATATACTTGAAGTAAACAAAATACATTTAGTTATAATAGTTTCATTTATTTGGGCTTAAACATAAAAAGTGCCGACTACTGGGACATGCCGAACTTAGGCACACTTACTCTATGTGCAATTTTTTGGAAAGTGTGGAAATATGCGTGAAGTAATATATATCGCGGACCGAAGCATTCTATTTTCATACTGCATCTAATACAGATAAAAATTTTGGTATGTGCAAAATTGGAAAGAAATCGAACATTTATATCCAATTTTATGCGAAATCATAAATTTCGATAAATAACATATTCATATAAGATTTCTGGTTAAGAGAAATATTTAAATGTAGCAAGTTGAAAAGAATCGCCGATTTGTTTCGCAAGTTATGACAGATATAAGTATTGGTAGCAGGCATATATCATCTTCACAACAGATCTTGCGTTAGATATAAATATTGGAAACTGTGGCCCTTTGTGGATGAGGTACCAGATGGAGTGTACAATATACCATCTGGAGTGGACCTTTATTGCCCATATCCGAAATTGATCTAAGTTTGCCAATAATATTACGATGTACCAAGTTTTAATCAAATGCGATACTCCCTTCGAGAGTTGTCGTGCATACCAGCCGGACAGACAGATGGACGGACGGACATCGTTAGATCGACTCCAAATGTTCTGAAATGGATTTGGTCAAAGAGACCTAGGCTCTGAAACCGTTATTTCGATAAGGCACGTTTTGGCCGTATCAAATGATATATGCCCTCCCTAGCCATATGGCTGAGAATTATTTTTGAAAGCTTCGTACCGAATCCAAAAAATTACTCGATTATATTTAGTTGAAGCCAATAAGAAAAGTGGAAGATCCGAAAGCACTACTTTCAGTTCAAGGCATTTGTTTGCACATTTTGAAAAGATTTAGAATTTTGTTTTAGAAATAAAATACATAAAACATATAAGTATTAATTAAAACTTTCAAAATTTCATAATTTTGAATTTAGAAATGGTTGGAATCGATTGACCTACTCGTTGTCAGTTTAATATTTTAACAAAGTTCAATAAACCTCTGTCAAAATTTTATTATCGGTCCCTGAGTTTTTTCGACCCTAAAATAACTAGTAATTGGATATGTTCTGCCTCTTTCTGGTAAACTTGTCCAAAATGTTCATATTGATATATTCGAAAAAAAAAAAATGGTTTTATAAGTTGCTCAGAATAATGCAAATCAGAATAATTCAAATTATGGTGACAAAATGGGAAAATAATTTCAAAGACCTATTTAGAACCGAGGTCATACTCCAATTGCGTAAAACAAAATCAATTGGTTTTCTCATACCCACTGGCATACATTCCTTTTATCAATTAATATTAAATATGCAGATAATTGACATTTGTCCACAAATTCAACAACAACAACAACCATAAAATGGACGACAACATTTACTTAAAAAAAGTATTGACAATAACTTCGGGGTATTTTGTTCACGACAACATAGATGCCATTGTTAAGTCAAATACTGTGTCCCAAGCAGAACTATTAGTAACCCAGTTGGTTCGTTAAGCACTTACTTGCACAACGCCATGGAAGAATGCCAGAACATAGACTAATGGCAAGAACGCCTTATGTGAACAGCTCTCCAAACGGTCCTGACGTACTTTGAAAAATGTCGAGCGTAGATTCAGTTTCAATCCATTGGGCGGTTCGGTGACAACTGTAAAATGCAATAAACGGAAACAAGCGTATTCAATGGATACATTTTTAATGTGATTTTCCAGAGGATATAAATTTTAGTTCGTGCTAAGGAGATTGTGAGCCATGAGAACATGAGTGTGTATAGCTCTCCTGGGAACTGAAAAGCAATTGAGTTATTCTATGACAGTACTTACCCTTTAGGGACTTTTGCAAAATTCCAATTGGAAAATTATCACTGGCATCTGTGGTAATCCATAGCCGGAAATCGGGATGAGGAGCATCGATTTTTTCCAAATACTTTTCCAATTGGCGCACAAAGCTAATTAGCAAATGGCCATTTTGAAGCATTAGCCACATACCCTGGCGCACGGCATTGTCCAAGAGATTGAGTGCAGCCTAAGGAATGATTTGAAATGAATTTTTTCAAAAGAGAACTGAGGGAGAAACATTGTTCCACATCTCATGGCATTTCACAGTCGTCTTAATGTGTGTCTATGTGTGTAAATCTAATTTAGGCCTCTTCGCGCTGAACATTACCACGCAGGCTAATACTATATACGGTAGTGTTCCAGCCATGGTTAAAAGAAATATAACAACATAATCCAAAGCAAAACAACAACATCAATTGCATCGAGGTGCGATTGTTTTTGTTGTATATCCCAAGTACATCCATCCACCTCCACTCCTAAGCTCTGTACACAATATGTCAAAAGTTCGTGACTGTCAACCGATACCCGGCTAAGGTCGTTTCTATATGCGAAGAGAGGAATTGTGATGAAGTAGCGGCCCAAAGGAATACGTTGACATCTGGAGGGTATTTACTGTGGCATTGCCACCGATTAGTATGCACAGGCCGAGAAAACGTCACTTGGAAAATTCTGAAAATTGCAATGCAAAAATGTCCTTTTTCATTTTTCCTTAAGTATAACCTATGTTTCATCCGATTTTGTGTTTAAAGTCTCTCATATGCGTAATATGCACTCCATAAGAATGACATTTGGTAACAGATAACTTATAGAGCTCAAAAATACCTCCGTCAAATTTTATCGAGATCGGATTAGATTTGGATATAGCTCCCATATATATCTCTATAAGATATTAGGTTTATTGTGCTCCAAATGGATAATATTAGCCCAAATAGATTGAATTCATCCTAGAAATAAGTACTTTAAATTTGGTGGAAATCGGTTCAGATATAGCTACACACGCATAGTGTGTAGGGTGTCCTTCCCCTACTGGTTTTTAATCGATTTAGTCCAGGATCGAATGTGACATAAATGGATCAACTGTTTCTCAAAATTTTTAATACCAGGATCTGATATTCTTAACATTTTGCGCATTCTAATATTTTTTGTCTATGTATGTGTGTGAAAATGGTCCACTATTCCTTCGAATTCGGACCATGCATTCTTACATGTAGCACATATAAATCTGCTCATGTGACCAATATGGTACTAGCTTGGCTCGTGGTAATGTATATAACAGACAGGGGCGAACTTAGGAAAATTGGGTAATTTTAATGTCAATGAGCTTTGATCCGCTATTATAGTCTAAACCCTTCTAAAAAAACAGGAAAATTCCCGTCTCAATAACTGCGGCTAAAAATATTAAATCAAACGGCACCGTATTGAACGCCCCCTCGTTATTTCACCTAATTGAGTTCGCTTGAATGGCTGTCATCGATGTGATAGTTTGTTGTTTGGTTATTCCTTCATAGCTTTATTTATTTGTTTGTTTATTTGGCTGTCCTCCTCTTGCCGCCACTCTTCCTGCCCCAGACCCTAGATGCGTTGTTTATCTATTGTTTATTTGCTTTGACAGCAAAAATAAAAAAAAAATAACAACAAAACAAAATTGACACAATAGACGTGTGTTGGGCTAATATTCATTCGTTTGCTTCATCCAATGGATTTCAAGGATATCATGAAGCCATCATCAATACCACTCTCCACACAGCCACACACACACTCCCATATATACACTGATGCTGGATGGTATATTCTAAACATTGTTCGAGTAAAACCAACACATCTATACCACACAACAATAAAAACGCGGTCATAACGTGTCGTTACCGGGTTTGTTCGAAATGAACTCCTCATTTGTAAACAGTAATTGTTGTTACTACTGCTGCCTTCGACACACACACACACACACATAGTCGACGTTTTCACGCTCCATGAGCTGGGATATACAGTTAGATTTGCACTTACCTTTTCCTGCCCCTGGCCCAATGATATGTGACAAAAGTTGGCCAGGCCACCGCCAACTTGTTCTGCCAACTTCATCAAATCATTCGTCGGATCCGAGCCGGCGCTCAATAAGAAGCACACGGGTATGTGGCATGTCGTCTGTTCGTAGATGGCTGCGAAGCTCACGACCGGTGGCATAATGAAAAACTCATCCATGGTGTCGACAATATACTGATTTATCGAACGGAAAATTCGATCGACACGGAAACACCGCAAAAACATTAATTTCTTTAGTTGGACGAAAGAGAGATGGATAGAGAGAAAGAGAGGGAGAGAAAGTATCAGGTTAGACCCAGTGAAAAGGTGGGGGGAAAATAACGTGTACATACATATATAGAAACTAATGAACCACAATAACAAATGCAAGTGGCACAAAACAAAAAAGTGCAATTTCTTCTAATAATCTGGAAAATCTGTGGCATTCGATAATGAAAATTTATTATCGTCAGGTGTAAGGGGTATAGAGCTGGATATGCATAAATTTATTGGTGGGCGATGAGTGGGAAGGGAAAAGTGTGATTTTCGTTTAAGGTTTGGACTTCTGAAAACTATAAGGAGATTTAGTCTTTACTATTTAAATTCTTTGGTACTTGAAGAGTTTAAAAAACACTTTGGGTTATCAAGAATAAACCTGATAATTGACAAATCACAATAATTTTGTGTATGTTTTTCAATAAACAACATTATTGTGATTGCTAAATTTTCAGGGTTAACCCGGGTAGAGATTTTTTTTTTTTTGTAAACGCACTTTAACCCCACTATAATTTGCTTATTTTACATTGACTCTTCCATTCTCGTTCTTCAACTGCCTAGAAATTCACATAAATTCACATCGAATCCTTGCATTTGTAGGTTTAAAGCAGAATTAATTCAATTTCTTCTATCCCAACTGGAACAAAGATTTCCGATGACCACAACACACTTATGGAAATCATAAATTTTTATTTGTGAAATATTTATTTATAATGTCACAAACACAAATGCATGCACACAAACAAACTCACACACACACACATTCACATGCACATGCCCATGCACACCAGCAAATGCCAAGAAAGGCCAACATAAACAATCATAATCCACAAAAGGACATAAAATATCGTAAAGTGGAATCCAATTAAGTATCTACAGTTTTGTATGCGTTTAGTTGTTGGAGGTTGGGAGGTTGGTTGAGTGTGAGCATGTGCGTGTGTGAGTGTGTACATATTATTGTTCATTGGTTCGTCCCATTGGACCATTTAGTCAACCGATGTTTGTATTTTAATGGATGTAGTTTTTCTCTGTTTGTGTGTGTGCGTTCGAATGCAACACACAAAAAAAAAAAAACGCCTGCAGAACCGTAAAATAAAAATCCCTAACAAGTTTCTGCTCGGCAAGTTGCAGCTGGGTCTGTGCTTTCGACAACATATCCATTCACAATAAAATGCTCAAGTTATTTCATTGTGAAATGCATACATGTGCGTGTGTGTGTGTGTAACAGCTAGTAGATGGTTCTGTGTATGTGAGTGTGCTGCAATCAGCTCCTAATGGAAAATATAATATTTCCGAGCTCTAAGCAACTCGGACAAGAATAGTGACAAACGGAATATAAGTGGTATCATCAACAACATCATCATCATTACCACTGGAAAAAGGAATAGAATCGAGCAAGCACAGTAATTGGAGATAAGAGAAGAAGTTGGGCTGCATGGTTTTCGAACCAACTATGAAGTGAATGATTCTTTGAAAAGAGCGCATGAACTAAGTCAGTCAATAACGTGAATTTTAGTACCATGAACTAAGGTAAAGGATCGAGCGATTATCAATCCAATGCAGTATTTTATACATCTTTCAAACTGGTATAATGTTCAATGCCATAGAAGTAGTTTAAGTGATTCCGGTCTACATCATTTTCAGTGAAAGAAGTCATGAATTTCCAAGAACGTAGTGCAGCAATATTCTATTTTGCTTGTTGATATGTCTTCTGTAAGGCTCAATGGGGTATTAGTTGAAAATAAGACTTAAACCACTGAAATATCGAATATTAGGCGGCATTGTTCTATGGGGATGCATACCTAGTAATACCTATTTTCTACAAACTTCTATAACAGAAAGTGGACGTGTATTGAATATTGTTTTCCAAAGAGGTAGACCTCTATTTCGAAGTTGAAATGCTAAGAATCTGTTATACTGTTATACGTAAAGCGACATTTTTTGGTTAGAAAATTTGTATTACGTCTTAAAAATAATAAATATCCCTTCAATATTAAATTAAACCTAAAATATGACAAAGGTCATTCTATCGAAATGGTAAACCAATTACAATTATTGGTTTTATTTCCGGTTGTTTTTTTTTATCATAACCCCCGACTGTTTGATGATAAGATATGATTTTAGGGGCAGATAAACGTTTTTAACCTGATTACGGCAAAGTTATTCTTTCGTGGGGGAAATACCCGATTACCTGGTTATTCGATCCGAAAGTTCGGATAGGACCAGGTTAAATCCAGGTTTACTAAATATATATGTACAAAACGGGTATAATTTGAAAGCTTATGAAGAAACCTATCAGAAGATAGATACCTATTAGTGAAGAAAATTTGAATTTCATGATTTTTATGACTTATATCTTCGGAACTACAAGACTTGGAAAGGAAGGCAGGAGTGCAGACTTTAATGTAGCATGTAGATCTTAATAGCCCTTAATGGGTTAATTTTCAACTTTTTAGGGGTATTTCAAAACGTCCCGGTACAAAAAGGTAAATTGCATTAGTCAGGAACCGGTTCAAGCAACCCCATCATGTGACCACTTGTTGCACGGGTATTTCCATAAGCTCTCAAGTAACAGTTTCGTAGAACCGAATAAAGTCAGGATTTTGTATCTGAGCTTTCGGGTCCGGATATTTCTCCATGAAAAAAACTACTTTGCCGTAATTAGGTTAAAAAAACTACTCCATGATGGAGTTTTTGTCCGCAATCGTTTTGGACGTAATCCCCATTATATAAGGTTTATGTCTGCTTCTGCTTCTGGGGATTATGACCGATTTTTGGGACATAATCCCCATTCCATTATGGGGGTTTATGACTGAATTCCCATAATTTGATTGCGGATTATGTCCGTGGGGATTATGACATGACAACGAGCCAACAGTCGGACTTGAACTGTGTGCAACCAAATGTTGTTTCGGAATCACAAATTATTATTTCGAACGATCTAAATAAACCCTCCATCCAACGGCGGTAAAATAAATAAATTTACAAAAAAAAGAAGACAATATATAGATATTTTCATTCTGAGAATTTGGATTATATTGCTCCACTTTTTTTTTTCATAGGATTCTTGGTGTGCTTTTACACTAACGAACAATTTTGGAGATGAGCTGCTCTGATTTGACACTCTTTTGATTCCACATGAATTTAATATTATTCTTTGAGGGTCATACGAAAAACCAGTAAATTTCGTTGGGTTTAATTTTTTTGCTCATCCCTTATGCCACATAAAAATTCTAAAAAAATCCACAGTTCCCAGTTCGAATCACTGTGCAACAGCCAGCGATGACACACACCAACTACTTTACAAGTGGATTTTATGGGAAGAGCATTAACTTGCCTGAAAATGATTGCACTTGATATTATATTCTCCCGGGCAGGGGACATCTTCGGGATTTTCTAAATCGTACCACTGGAACGGCGGAATACCATCCAGGATGTCAATGGCGTAATAGATGAGGTTGTGGTTTTCAAAAATGAAATTTCAATTCGCCCATAGCAACAGCGGCGGCAGCACCAGCAGCGACAGTCGAAGCATTGTCGTGGACAGCCACCAAGCACATAGCGAGAACAGCCAATGCACAAAATGGAAAGTTCAATGGGAAACTCATCAGTTTTCGTGGCCATCGCAGGATTTGACCAGCAGTCATAGTCGTCATCGTTACCAACCACATCAGAGGGGAGGACGGGTTTTAAGTCGTACAATCGGTTACGTTGTCATACGTGGACAAAGAAACAAACATTAAAAAGAGAAGGAAAGAAGTGTAAAATTAGTTAAAACAATTAATGTTTGTATGTGTGTTTGTATTTGCAAGCGACGTGCAAGATGGCTTCTTGCCACCAAACGAACGCATGATGCAGGATTTGCGCTTCTTATTAAAATTTCAAAAATATATTTAACTGAAGCTAATCATGACGGAGGCAGAGGAAATCTCACACCACAGATTTGACATTAATTTGACATTTAGCGCCAACAAACAACGTAATCGGCTTTCCGGATTCGTCAGATGCGTCGGGGAAGGCATAAAAACACGACGATATTTCATTCCTTACATCTTTCCATTCATGGGTGTATCTGGCAATGTGGTCGGGTAACGTCTCAAACGGCTCAGGAAATTCAGCTGACAGCTTCATTATATCTTCCCAACTTTTATCGGGCAACCAGTTTGCCGGACATGGCCTTTCGCTTTTTGTCAGCGACACAGAGCCCTTAATGAAAAAGTCCAATTCTGCTTGACTTAACTGACCTTCGCGCTGAGCCAACTTAGTGGCGATCTGAAAGGAAAAGAGCAGTTTGTGGCGTTCGAATATCCCGGTGCAGCCATAACAGTAGACATTCTCGGTGAGCGTTTTGATTATGTTGTTGAGGCGTTTCGAAAGCACAGTGTCCGGCACGGACTTTCGCAGGGAGAAAGTGAATACATCTAAGTAGGCAGCCAGGGCGTATTGATACATGGCATTGACGGTGGACATGTCGGAGAGGGCGAAGAACAGAACTGCGCCCCTCTTGGCAGCCGGCCTATAGCCATCTCTCAGTTTTTCAATGTCTTTCTGTGTCTCTGCCGAGAGCACAAGTTGCTCCATGACTACCGCAGCCTTGGATTTTGTATTCTCCAGTGTCTCCACCAACTCCACATTGTCCAACATGTTGCCAGTCGAGGTGGCTAACTCCCTTAACAGGGAGTCCTCCAGTTGCTGCAGCAGTTGTTTATTTTCACTTGTCCGGGCGATTAGTGTTTCTCTTTGGGTTTCCAGGTCGGGGCGTTCGGCTCGCACAACGACACTCAACAGTTGATCCTCTAGGCCAGTCAGTGTCACGGTGTAGTTAATGACCATGGCCTTGGCAAAGACGGCAGGATCGAACTTGGGATTGGAGAACTTTGTGGTCAGGTACATTCTGAAATTTGGATCGTAATCGACATCCTTGTCTCCAAGCATTACGAATTTGCGTCCGCTCACTAGCTGGATGTTCTTCTGCAGAACATTGTCAATCACGGGATCTATGTAGTCGTCCACGTCTTCGAAGAGGACTGGAATGCCATACATGATGGACATCTCAAGCTGCTTAAGAAAGTCCGCGTCATTGAAGGAGAGAATCTTCAAATGATTCTTCTGTTCTTTCTTCTTGATCCAGGTGAGGGCCTGCAGCTGGGGATCTATGCATAAGGGGAAACGGGATGCCCGAACGGTGAGTATGCCATTTTGGACTGAGAGCTCGTCGGGTGGAAGTCCTTCGGACGTCCATGTGGATATTTCAACATCAGTTGTAAGGCTTTCGTCAATCCGAAATGGAGTTTTGATGGGTATTTCCCTTCGAATAATGTCGGGCAGCCAGTCCTCGAAGACCATCGTTTTACGAAATTCCCACGAAAAAGCTCCCGTGTAGGCCAAAAAGGAGGCACACAACAGGCATTGGCCCAGCATGACCACCAGTTGTTGGCCGTAGTTTTCAAAGTCCTGGCTCCAGCGGATTCGCTCAGAACTAAGGCCGCTAATCAATTTGTCGGAGGCAATCTACGAAAGAAACAGTGAATATGAAAACTTTATTGTCTGGGGAAATGCAACCCTTCAGCCCTTGCTCACCAGTCTCCTTTCGGCCGTCTGCATCATTTCCGTTAGGACTTTCATTTTCTTCATTGACTCCGCATAGCGATGGTTCAGGGAGTCCAACTGATTCTCCAACTTTGCTATTTCGGCATTCAAATGATTCAACAGCTTGATTTGTTGTTCCTGCTCCGCAACAAGAAAGTCGACCCGCTCCTTTTTTGGTTTTACTTCTTTGTACACTTCGTAGAAGCCAATAACGGCCCGGACGAACTTCAGCAACCCGGCACCAGCAATGGAGATTTTCTCCATTTCATCCAGGTGCTGGGTTTTCATGTGACTGCGGCACTGATTAATTTGCTTGCCTGTCAGAGCTTCGCAGTCCATTTCCATGAGGCTTTTCAGGAAGTTGACATCGGACATCATGCCCTTGGCTGTCTTCCAGTTGATTTCCTTGTAGCCCTTCAGAATGGCCACGCACTCACACACAACCTGAACCTGGGGAGGTGGTGTGGCAAATGAACGGATTTCGGTTATTTGAGCCTTATCCAACTCCGACAGAGCTCGTCGGGCTTCCTCTAAGGCAGGCATTGCCTCGGCCAAGGCTTCCTCGGCATCCTCTTTTTCAATTGCAATCTGCTTGCCCTTGATCTCCACCTCAACGGACTTTTCGGAGGCTTCGGTTTTCTTGATGTTGGCTTTTTGTGTGGCTTCCTCGATTTCCAACAACATCTGCTCGCATTCCTCAGATGCGATTCCCACCTTGTGTTTCTGTTCGGTGACTAAAATACGAAGTTCGTCAATTTGTTTGGACGCCTCGTCAATTTTATTAATGCCCTCGTGCAGGCGGTCCCTTTGCATGGTGATGAAGGAGTTCTTCTCCTCTGCAAATTTTGAATTGGTTCAAAAGTTTTCTAAAAAAAAATTCAGAAGCGAGCCATCTTACCTAGTAATCGCAAATATGTGTTGATATAGTCCAGATAATGCTTGGGAGTGACATAATTATTCCGCCTTAGCTTCTGCAAGTAGTCCTTGGAGTAGTGGTGCATGCTGCTGTGCACATGGACAACATGATGCATTATATTTTCGCTGTACGTTCCAGGAATCTAATCCGAAATAAGTATGAAGTAGTTGGGGGGGGGGGGGGGGGATGGGTTAACGAATTGAACACTCTGAACTTACCAACTCATGTTCACACAAAAATAGTTCCGCCACCGCGGACAACGCCTGCTGTGGCCAGGGGAATACCCAATCGATGTAGGTGCTACCTATTAGACCAGGAAAATTGCGGCAACGATTTCGTAGAGCATCTCCTGAAGGAGACATGCTCAGTACCACATGCATATTTTCTGAACATTTACTCAGGAAATATGACCACACCGAATCTCTAAAAAGAAAGAAAACTTATTCAGCGCTCGAAAGGAGGATTCCTAGAATAGGGGTGGATTTACTTAGAGGCTGAGTAGCCCTCTTCTTCGGCTGCACTGCGACACGAATTGACAATTGACTCCTTCTCTTCGTCACTGAAGAGGGCAGGCACCAGGCCAACAGTCAGTATGTTATTGATTAGCTCCAGAAAACCTTCTTCCACCACCTACAACCAAAAAAGCTTACCTCGTCGGGGCAATTTGAAACAGAAAAAACGATGCGCTTACCTGAGCCGCTGTAAAGATAAAAACTGTCTTCTTTCGCTGCACGCCCGCCATGGTGTAGAGCGTTTTGAGGTCTTCCCGAAATGACTGTTCCCCGTAACCACGGGCTACTGTGATTTCGAAGACTTCACATTCCGCCGCGAATGCTGACAGCCGACTGATGCACTTTTTTCCACTACCACCCACACCTACCAACAGCACATGGCCTCGATGCATCCTCAGGGTGCGATGTACCCTGGTTAAGTGTTCCAAGCAATCTTCGAACAGAACTAAAGGCATTTTACCCCTACGCTCTTGATATTCATCCAATATCTTGGTGAGGGATGGAGCACCATTAGAAGGACATGGGATTATTGTGGCTTATTTACTTACTTCATCGTAGAGTGCATAGACCGCCTCATAATCCAGCAGGTCCTCGTAAAATCTTGGCTCTGATTCGTTGACAGCATTACGAAAATCACCAAACAGTAATGGATCTCTCATTACATGTTGTAGGAACGAAATGGGTTGATCGTCATCGAATTCGTCTTGCTCGTCGTCGTCGTCCAGAAGAACGACGCTACGTTTCGGCATACCTAGAAGCGGGTGTATTTCAGGAATCATGTTTAACGGATGTTTTAAAAATTTGTGTTAACGATAAAATGTCATATGGGGGTTTCAAAATTTTTTGTGTCTTTTTCCTATCTTCAGATCCTTTACGGTGTCGGACATATTTATTGTTAGCTGCATTACAAAGCAGTTAGCAAATATCTCAAGTGTCATATCCACTTAAATATAGAACTTTTACTTCAAACTATGTCCTCAATCATATAATCTCATTGGAATCTTATTTTCAAATTTCAGAACTCCAGCTCGGTTCACCCCAATTCCAATTCGTACCAAATCTTGTGTAATTTAGTACACATAACTACAAATTTTCGCAACAACTTGCATTAATACAATCCAATAAAAGTATTATTTCTCAATTTCAAGATTCCAGCCCTATCGGTTCTCTTAAATCCAAATTGTACCAAAGTAAGCACCATTTAGTATGCATTAGTACGAATTTCCAAAATTTCATATATACCCCAATCCCACAATACTACACTTATCTCATTTCCAAATTTCAGTATTACAACACTATCTGTTCTCGTAAAATTTAAATTGTACCAAATTAAGTACAATTTGTACCTAAACAACAGTACCTACACCTAGTACCTCTACACCACAGTCCTACAATGTAACAACTCTTATTATTTTCAAATTCACATCGAATTTCAGGATTCTGTACGAAATTTAATACCGTTAAGTACCTTTCGTATACATGGGTACACGCTTCTCAAACTACTTCCTAACATCGACGCTACTCCTCAACCTAGACTCCCTCTCCAAATTTTAGCTATAACCATTCACATGATATGAAATGATACAATATGAAGTACATTTTAGTAATTTTCGTACTCTTTCCAAAATTTCCAAACACCTTTTGGTTCATCCATCACACACCTCAAACGTACTGTTTCGTCAAATACAATGGGTACTTAGTATTTAGTTCCTTTTGGTACTTTTCGTACCGTTCCAGTAGGCATTTCAAAAAACCCAGCCTTATTTGATACCTTCGAACAAAGAGTGACCGTCACCCAAAATTTCAAGATCCTAGCTATAGCCGCTTCGTCTAGGCGTTGATGAATCGCTGAGTCAGTCTGTAAGTCAATTACTTAACTTTTTTTTATTAACATAGATATATTAAACAATTGAAAAAGTATCAGTGGTTTTTGTCGACTGGTGTATTCATCCAGCCAATGTTCGTTTATTTAAATATATATTGAGTTTTGCGTTAAGATTATTCAAACAGACATCTATTACCAATTCTATGGGATGGGACGAGAAGAAATGAGCCTATAAATCTCATACTAACATCAGACCTAAGGCCTAGAATCGTTATATCGATGAGGCACGTACGCTCTTTGCCCATATGGCTGAGGGTATAAAAAGTGGGTCTTAGAAAAATTGTCAATTAAAAAATAAATACAAATATGTATCACGTTTCAGTCTCGCTCCGCGGTGTTGCCCCTTCGGGTGTCATTGCACTCATCCCACTGCAAATTGAATCCCCTTAGAATCTTATATGATATACTTACCATGCTATCGATTGTAATTTATAAAACAAAACAAAGCATGTTAACATGAATCAATTCGTTACCTGGAATGACAACTTCTGGCTCCGCAAACCCATTTTCTATTTCGTATTCAGCTGGGAACGTTTCATTCACCTCCTTTTCCACGTGATGTTTCATCAATTTCAAATCCTAATTTTAAAGCAAAAGAGGAAAATTATTGTTCCGAAACACAAGGCAGTTGGAATGGGAAACTGTGGTTTGTACTATGTCTCAGCAGCCATTGGTTGGTGAGTTCATTTGCGTATAACCTGAGACTCGCTTGGCAAAATAAAAATCACTTTCTTCACTTTTCTGCTCTGACGCTGACTCAGTAAGTCAGCCAGTCAGCCCAGCATCCATCCATCCGTATTAAGTTGTAAATGTAATTGATTGTAATCTTGGCAGCGATTGTAACCAATTACTTCAGCTGGAGACGTTATCGGTCTTATCCATGCCGAAACAGTTATGGTGCCAGACTGTCTTCATTAATGTTTGTGCTCAATGAATTATGTGCGTCTGTGTGTGTGTGTGTGAGTGCGCACGCGAGTGAGTGTACTTCATGTGGGTGCCCTTGGCTAGGTGGGGATACAACATTGAGGGGTGGGGGGTGCCTTTGTTTGTTAAGCATTTTAAATTAAAAGAAAGGTAATTCAAAATCAATGCAAACAAATTGAACTCAGCCAGACCTTCATGCCCTTAATCCAAATATCTGGCGGCAAAGATGCGATGCGAAATCAATCAAAACAAATAATTTACATGTGCCGTATGACCCCATCCCACCCCAACCCATTTGTCCCCCAACCCCCCAACATGTTTGTGCATGAGCTAGTGTTTGCACGTGAACGGATGTTTGAGAAATTCCATAAGCGTATTTATGTATGCATAAGTATGTATGCTTGTACACATCATCGGAGGGAGGGGGAATACCTTGACGTATACCCAAAGATATTGGGAATCTGCGTCAGCCGTTTAGTATCAACTTAATCTCTTCAAATTACTTTCAAATGAGGCAGATGTCTCAATGAGGTTGTGGTTGGTTGGTATACTCCAGACAAAATGTGTTGGTTTCGATGGATGGATTTGCGTGAAGTTATACAACCATTTCGCGACTTAGTTCGGGATATGCCAAATCTTAATGTATGGTTGAATTGCATTTTGTTTTTCTTTTTTTCTCGAGTGTATATGCGAACCACCTTGTCCCGATTTCATCAACTTTATAAACGTATGCTGTCTCTGTGTGTATCCTTGAAACACTTACCGCTTCAGAAATTAAACGGTCGCATATAATGCGTGTAAACTCATTACGCCATACACGCACCAGATTCCGCAATGTTTTAAAATAATTCGAGTGTATCAGCAGCATGCCGGCAAAGATGCGCGACAGATCCTTTAAATTGAATATGTAATGGAACTTTGATGGTGTGGGAGGCAATTCGGCAATAACAATCTGTAACGAAAATGGTGGAATGGTGAAAATCGAGAGGGCGACATTATGTGGCAATGGTGGCAAGCAGGCGACAAATCGAGGCAAAAGTTTCCTCTCTTTTGGGTAAATATATTGATGGAAATTGCTAATGAAGGGGAAATAATCCTGTCATAAGGATGCCATTAGAAATGTTTCAGCCAAATCTTTCGAAAAGTAACTAATGACCTATGACCTTTGATGGTGTAGTGGGAAATTGCTGGGGCAGCAAAGTGGCAATGTGTCAAAGTTCGTAATGCCATGAATGTCTGAGCAGGCTTCTTGTCAACCGGCCACCTTGTTATGGGTTAATGCGCTAAATGTCAGCTTCATATATTTTTGTGGCCGTAACAGTTGCAGGATAACTGTCAGAAGTTTTGGGAAAATCTGTTGTAATAGTTAAGGAGCGGTGTACACATTAGCATAACTATTCATGAATGGTCATTAGCCGTCTGTCTGTGTGCGTGTGTGTCACAAATGGCAATTTATACATATTAGAGATCTCCACAAATCGGAATTTATTCGCCAATGCCAACAAACAGAGTTGGGACACATTTTCCATATGGATTGAGAAATGTTTGCAGGACCACACACACATAGATCCATGACGACCATTCGTCCATTGGACTGCCAATTATATTCAATATCAACAGCTCCAATATTGTACATATATGTATATGCCCATGTGTGTATGTATGTATTTGTGCAGTTGTGTGACATTTATAAACCTCATAAAGTCAGTCGGCATCTTTATGGGGTGTTGTAGCATCGATGCACGAATGAATGCTAACACTGGGCCTCTAGTAGAAATTTCAATTTTATTCTAATAATTCATTCTCACTTCTTCCAAAGTCGTTGGGCATGGCATTTATAATGCGAACATAAGAACATATAAAGAATGACTCTCGTTCGGTATGAGACACAGTGGAAAAGGGTATTGAAATAATCGGTATTTGCCAAGGGTAATATTGAGACTATTCATATGGAGATCAGATGAGTACATTTTCGCCAACAACCAACCGTAAAGAAAGTTTGTCTGATATATTCATAAACTTAATTTTAGGCTGATATTGGTCATATTGGCAAAATTCGATACTAGTTGGTGAGATATAATTAATTTATAGTGAAATCGGCAAAGATATATGTGGGGGCTATATACAAATCCAAACCAATTTTGACAATCTCAATAGGGTTCAATTGAGGGGTGCAAAGTGTTGTCTTGATCTGACAATAATGACTACAAACAATTATAGGCCAATGGACGGCCATACACCCAGACATTCTGAAGGCCCGATTACACATTATGTTAGAGTCATATGTAAAATGAAATGTTCTACTTTTTTAAATTTTTCATTTTATAGCACACTTTAAGGATAAGAATTCTTTAAGACCTTAGGGAACAATTTTTGGAGTTCTTGTTAAGTTACGTTCTCCCATATTCAACTTTAACTCAGTATTTTTCGCTAAAAAATTGCCTTTCCCTCATAGTTTAAAGATTGAATAAAATATTTTATTTTAATTGACAAATAAATTTACACATTTTTTTTCAAAATGAAATTGTAAAAAACTACCGCATTGACTATTCTGTGGAAATGCCTTTCCAGTTGGGAGGATGACGACGACGACGAGGACGAAGAAGAAGGCGAAGCGAAACATAAATATCACCGACTTCCATAATATTTCAGTGACAACAATTGCTTCAAGTGCCATAAACTAATATTTCACAAGGTATTCAATTGAACGACCACAATGGCTCCTCCGTCGAGTACTGGTGGCCATGTTCCATAAATGCATCTGCTCATTTCCTCTTCTCTTGTGGAACGCATTCAAGCGTAAATTTATTAGGGATTTTCTCCCTCCTCCTCCTGCCCCTACCTGCCCCTCTCCCACTGTATACTTAAGATGTCACTCGAAGCAAACGGAAGTAAAAAAGAAACTGTTATTTTGGTTTTCCTTTCAGACTGTGTTCAATATAATCGAATCTTCTTGACCACAATTACAAAGGATCCACCTAAAGAAAGATTTTGCAACAGCAGCAACAACAACTTGTGCTGCATGAAGCTTTGCCAACAACCCGTACCATTGCACAAGGATCTAAAGAAAATAAAACAGTTTTCTCCAGGGGCTACGGTTCATTCATGGCTGCAGTCGAATAGTTCCATTGAGGAGTCCAGAGGCTACGAACGAACATACACTTGTTATTTGTTGGATGGCATTGCTTTGCGAACTCATATCACAAGCTACAACAAGCTTCTGCTCTGTTAGATTTATTGTTGTTCGATATTAGGGGAGGGCGTATGTCCGGAGGAGGGGGAGGAGTAAGAGACGTTTTCCCATTGAATGGCTTTTGAATAATTTTCGATTGTAAAATAAACGATTTGGCAAAGATTATGAAAAATTGATGTGATTTGCATATGTAAATCGTTTGCCATAAATTTTCTACTCCAACATCGTCACAAATTATTTACACCATTTTTCTTTGAAAGTTGGCTATTGCACAGGCAAGAGCTGCTGCCGCTACTGCTTTTTGGGAGGGGTAGAACTGATGCCGCTGTACTCACCTTGAACAATCGCAAAGTCATTTGGACAATGATGTCAGCTATTGGCAGGAGTTTACTATCGAAAGAGCTGCTATACTGCAGATGTCCCCCGAAAATCGAGGTGTAGATCTGTTGCAGGGACTCGTCGTTCGGAAAGACAATGTTGTAGACCGAGAACATGGAAATAAATCTGGGGTCGACTTCATTGCGTCCGCCTCCAGCGCATCCCATGGCCGCATAAAACGAAATGTCTTTGAATTTCTTCCACGACAGGTCTTTTTCGCGGTCGTACATGCCGCCACGTTCGAAGAATAGTTTCAGGAGAGCAATGGGTTGTTGGGTTCCGTATCTGAAAGAATTGAATTTGGTATATTAGTCAATCCGGACGATTCAACGATTTAATGTTACAATATTGTAAGGCAAAGACACAAAAAGGCCGTACTTTTTATGAGTCTAACAAAATACTTAAAATCCATATACTTATAGTATAGTATAGAGACAGTTTGATAGGACCTTTTAGATTACTAATATTTATTAAAATCCATTTCACTTATATGGGAGAATTTGGGCTTATGATTGATTTTTGGGAAAGGCTAGAAGTGAGTGTCATTTTCATTCACGTGAGAATTCACTTGAGAATGTCCAACATTCTAACTCGATTTAGCGATGTCCTTCTGCCTGTCTGTTTGTTATTCGCCGGAATCGTTTCAAATTTCGTATTTGAAGATCTTAATGGGTACTACAGCCTATGACAAAAAATTACTTATGAGAGACCACGTCTTCGTGTAGCCCCCATATAAGGGATTTCATTTAAGACGTATTTTTCTACCCTCCATTATACATAGTATGGAGGGTATATTAAGTTCTTCATTCCGTTTATAATCCATCGAAATAATAATTTTACACCCAACAAACTATTAAGACAATTTAGCTCTTTCCGTCCGTCCGTCTGTTGTAATCACGCTAGAGTCTAAACGAATTAAGATAGGAAGCTAAAATGTTTCACAGATTTGTCTTTTGTCTGCAGGCAGGGCAAGCTCGAAGATGGGTTATATCGATATCGTATAGCCCCCATATAATAATTTTACACAAGGAGTTCTTTATGGGTACTTTACTCCCTGAAAGAAAATTTTCTATATAGGTCCACGATATCGTATAACCCCCATATAACGGTACCTCCCGATATTCGGTACTTTGATGGTTTTAGCCACATTGTTCAACGAAATTGTGTGGAGTTCCTTGTGAGTACTTTATTCCCTAGAAGAGAATTATATACATAGGTTTAAGTTTTAGTATAGCGCCCATATAACCTTACCCCAAGATTTTCGGTATTTTTTAATAATTTTTGCGATATTATTTACCCGAATTGTTTCAAATTTCGTATTTGAAGTTCGGAATCGTTACTACAGCCTATGACAAAAATTACTTAGACAGGACCATATAACGATTTTCATTTTAGCGGTGTTCTTCGACGGATTTTTTTTGAAAATTTTAAAGTTTTTTTTCCAAACTTCGGCCCGTCCAAACTTAGCTGCCTTTTTGCTTGTTGAATTGTCGTATAATCTTGGAGATTTGTAAATCGTTTTAAATTCAAGAATTCATGTTAAAGTCACTGTCGAACATGAAAATGGTTGACATATAGTCTCAATGCCAGTTTTTGTATTAATGTCAAGACGTGAGGGTCTACTTATTTCGTCTGAAATACAAGTAAATATCAGTTAAGTTCGGCCGGGTCTAATTTTATATACCAGAGGACATATCGTTCCATATCGACTCTGAATTATAAACAATCGAACATCGGGAAGAAGTGTTATATGGGAGTTACAAGATATCGTGGACCGATATAGCCCAATTACGGACTTGACCTATCTGCAGACAAAACAGCTCAGTGGAGGATCTTAGCTTCCCAACGCAATTCGCTTGGACCCTACCGTACCTAAATCAAACTAGAATTGTAAGCTGATTAAAAATATATATTCTTGTTAGGTATAAAATGGCTATATCGATGAGCTACAAACTGAAAGACAAACTTATTATACCCTCCACACTAGTATGTGTGGTGGGGGTATAAAAAACACTCTATTCTCATTGCGATAGTAAATCGAAACGTGATTGGGGAAACCAAAGTAGGGGGTTATAAAATAAAAATAAAATCATTTTGGTCATTTTTCTGTTAAACCATATCCAGTAAGGTGTAGACAATGCAATTTTTTAAATAGAAAAATATTTCATAATGTTTCTAATTTCCCGGCATTATTTGTTTTGATTTTAGAAAAGTGCGGTGTTTCGACTAATGAATTCGATTAAAATCTTACCCCCCCCCCCCCCACCGTAATGCTATTCTCAATAATCGGAAAAAGGGTTTTGCGGTCATTGGCATTTGCGATTACATTTTGTGCGATTCCAAACTGTGTCTGCGAACAGTGGCAAACTAGCAACAATTTATACATTCACACATACATATGTATGTACATGTACATATGTTCAGCATTCAGGCCGTAGTTATAACTTATGGTCCTTTATTCGCATGTACTTACTCATCAACTTGCGGCATATTCATGTCATCAATAAAACATGCAATCTTCTTCCCCATCGGTGGGCCAAATGTGTCCTTTGTACGCTTCTCAACAGCAGCCTCCAGTGTTCGTTGCACGTCCATGGATGAAGTTCTCGATGAAAAATTAATATTCAATAATATCTGAAGAAGGAGACAAAAGAAAACATTGTTTTTTGTCATCAGCATTGTCATACATTGACATTCGCAGGTGAAGGATTTCTTGAAAGTTTACGACGAGGACACGGTGAATATCGGTGGTTATCGAAAAAAGACGAGTTTTTAGTTTTTACGACTGTAATTTCTGGTAGTACAGAATGACATTTCTGAATATATCACAACTCCGGTAGCATAGAATGGAATTTTTGAATATAAAGGCGTGTAAAGAATCGGGTTCTTATTCAGATTTGTTTGTTTCTTTTGTTGTTTTTTAAACAACTTTATTCAAATGAAACACCAACAAAAACAAACATTTTTAACCTATATTGGCCAAATATTTGTGCTATACTCACATTAACATCCTTGTTGAGGCTCCTCAGATACTGCGATATAATAGCCGTTTTAGATGTACCTGCTTCACCGACCAATAACACGGGACGTTTTATCTAAAAACGGACACCAAAAATATTTGAATCTCATACGACGTAATAGTGTTAGTTAGGCTGTGCATCTTGTACCGTCGAACTATACAACACACTTACATCACTATTTAATGCCAACACCCTCACAGTCCGTGTGCTGTCGACGGTGGGCACCAGAATTTCACTGAATTTCATTTGGGGGTCGTGTTTGTACGGCGGCACCACCCACTCCCATGCCATCCAACAGTTGTTCTCGCGGCAATAGAAATATTCGTATAGCGTCGCTTTGCTCGTGGGCAATTGTCCCCCCGACGCCGGCTTATCCTTGGAATCCTGCACACAGGGAAAGCCGGAGATGCGCTTTAAAAACTCATCAAAGACCGTCTGATCATGTTCAATTAAGCAGGCACCCAGTGACGAATAAATGCATTGGATAAATCCGCACTCCAGTGCATCCGTATCGTAGGCCACCGGTTCTGGTGCTCCAAATGCCAAATCATCCTGTTTTTCGAATGGCGGCAACAGGGCGTCATACATGTTGCAGAATTGTACAACCATATTCAATTCCGTTTGCATGATTACTGTTTTCAGGGGATTACCTTGGGATGTGCCATCGAGGCCTTCGTGTATGAAGGCGATAGCTGGTGTTATGATTTTTTCAAACATATCCTAAACACATCAGTGAGGGAGGAGTAGGCAGAGGAGATATTTGCTGTATGGCAACCGTTTTCTGCGAAACAAATGGGTTTTACTCACATTTAAAAGCTCTCTTTGGGTTTCGGGTCGCGTTAAGACCCATCTTTGCCAATAAGGGCTGTAGCGCAAATTCTTGGGATCAACATAGACCATACCGGCACGAGAAACCGTTGCAGGCGAAGCATAATTCAAATTGCCAACCTGTTGAAATTTTCAAATACGAAAATAATTGTCAAAGACACCAAATGGTAAAGACTCAAGGCAAAGTGCATTGCGGAAAAATAGTTAATGTGACAAATGTGTAGAGTAGTGTAGTGAGACGTGTTAGCATAAGAAATAAAATTACGGATTGCTTATTTGTGGCCCTTCATTGTCAAATTTATATTTTGTAGTTCTTCCTCAAATATGGACGTGCAACTGGCAAGAATTTTGCATTTATTTCAGACCAAATATTGTGGTATTTTCACGCCTTTTAGAGGGTACAAAAGTACAGGAAGAAAATAACCTAAAACAGAAAACTGATAAAGTCCGATAAGTCAAGTAAGGCTTAATTATGGAATGGTTGAATTTGGTTGCGCATAAGACAAGACAATATTACGCTTTGGTTGCTACAATACTGCTAAAATGTTGTTATCCCTCATTCGTTACAAGATATTGTCAGCGCAAGTTTTCGTTTTAGTACAGAATCCATATAGCAGGTGGTTTGAAGACTTTGGCAACATTTTACAGCTATTTCAGAATAATTTGACAAATTAATTTTTAGACCAAATTCCATCACACATTTCAAATTTTATTCGAATCGGACATATATATCGTGATTTGTGCACAAAACCTATGAAGTCGGTCGAACATATATGTGGGACCTATATCCAAATCTGATCCGAATCTGATGCTATATCTCCAAGTACAATTTCAACCAGTAAGGAAAAGTCAAAAGTCGGGCGGAGCCGTCTATATGATACCCTACACCACTATGCATATTTAGTAGAGCTCCCTCCCTAGTAGATCATACCACCCATTTGTGCTGATATTACCCATGATTTGCACAATAAACCTGAAATCGATAAAGGATATATATGGTAGCTATAGCCAAATCATTGCCATACTCGATAAAATTTGGCAAAGGTATTTCCGAGCTCTATGAAACATATATAGCTATAGCTATATCTGAACCGATTTGCTCCGAATTCGATGTACTTGCTTCTAGACTGAATTCGGTCGGATGTATCAAGATTCAGGACTTTTGGGCTGATATTGTCCATTTGGTGCACAATCAACCCGATATCGGTTGAAGATATACATGGGAGCTCTAACCAAATCTGAGCCGATCTTGATAAAATTTGGCAGAAGTATTTCCGAGATCTATAAGATATCTGGTGCCAAATATCATTGTTGTCGGATGCATATTACGAATGTGAGAGACTTAAACACCAAATCGGCTGAAACATATATATGGGAGCTATAGCTATATCTGATCCGATTTACACCAAATTTGAAGAACTGGTATCTAGAATGAATTAAGTCGTAATCCATTTGGTTCACAATAAACCAGATATCGGAAAAAGATCTCGATAAAATTTGGCATACGTATTTTCAAGCGGTATCTGGTGTCCAGTACCAAATATCATTGTTGTGGAGAGCAGTTTACCCATGTGAGGGACTTAAAACCATAAATCGGATGAAACACATATATATGGGAGCTATGGCTATATCTGAACCGATTTTCTCCAAATTTGCTTCTGGACTGAATTCGGTCGGATGTGTCAAAATGCAGGTCATTTGAAATGATTTTGGTCATTTGGTGATATTGGCCGAAATCGGTTAAAGATATATATGGGAGCTATATCTAAATTTGAACCGATTCCCACCAATTTCAACCAAACAAATATTGTTTGCAAAATGTCATCTCAATCGGATAATAAATGAGACCTGCATTTTGTTCACAAAAATACATGGACAGATGGATGGACGGATGGACTGACGCACTGACATGCATAAATCGACTCATAAATTGATTTTATGAAGATTTTCCAGAGTAATTATGGGTCTATCTCGCTTCCTTCTCCATGTTACAAACAAATGCACAAATACATAATACCCCTACCACTATGTGGTGTAGGGTATAAAAACGAACACGCAAAAAATTTCCCCTTTTTTAGATGTAGAAGAAGAAGATATTGTTTTCATTTTTTTAGCATTTGCTACCATAAAATGTTGAAATGTTCAGTAATACACTATGCTAATTGCGTTGAAGTACCAAAGGTTTGATCGTTGTCGTCGATATAGTTATCTCTACCAGAGCTGATGATATTTAGATAATTTCAATATCGAAGGCAATGTCGTTCATTGTAAGCAGATATCTGTCAAAATGACGACTGAACCTTTTTGCGTTCTCTGTGTCTCTCTTAGCCATGATTAATGCATTCACAGTTCAATCTTTGCCAAAACACACACGCATACACACACACACAATGACAGCCTGATGCTGATGAAAACCACTCACCCAATTCTCTTTGTTATCCTACCGAGAGCAGTAGGGAGGGAGGGAGGGAGAGTGATATAGATTTCGCATTATTTACTTTGTCTAAAATGTGACAAACAAACCCTGGTCTCCCTTTGTGTGTGCGCACGTGTGTGTGTGGGGTTAGGTGCTTTTTTACTTTGTGGCATTTATGTTTCTGTTGGCTGTTCTTGAAACTAAACCTGCTGCACTTTAATGTTGCAAGCATACCTCTGCATCGTTCCAGTGCGAGATACGCATCTACTCGCCATTGCACAAACAATAGCTAAACACTCGAGAATATTGAGTGTTAGCAGACCACCCCTCCTACCCCTTCTGTGCTCTCACCTGGATTATCGTGCGGGGAGAGTGTTTATTTTACTGCACTCACCCGCGGTGCATGGATGCATTATTACCTTACCTTGCCGTCATCGCTGGCCCCTTCTCATTCACTCACCTCGAATAGCAGAGCGCAGTAGTTTTCCAATCTGATACGTTCGCCATTTGCTAATGTCAGCAGCTTATTATCATCCATAACCGAGTTCATGTTTTCAATCCATAGCGCATCAACGTCTCCGTCAAAACAGACATAACGACGTTCCTGTGGGAATGTGTGCATTAAACTGATTGTATTAGTTACAGTTTTTTTGTTCGTGTCGTGTAGGTGTAGTGTTGTGTGTGACAGACCCCGCCACCATCTCATTTGGAGCTATGTTGTTTCACAGCCACGCCACATGGAGTGGTCCAAAAGGAATCATAACAACGCCAACCAGCATAGTTTCGTTGCCAATGTATTGGTGTTATATGGTATCGTTTGAAGGTGTTCTCGTGTATGTGTGTGAGTGTTTGTGTTTGTATGCATGGCTGTGTGTCTGTCTGTTCGCGACTTTAATCATACTTATGTAAGCCCTGATATGGCAATGCTGATTATGGATGGGAAATGCTCTTAACTTTTATGTTGCAATTCCAAAAAAGAGGAGATGTAATTTCGGAGGATTTTTAAGCCCCGCTGATGATGATGTAAAATTCTGAAGAGCAAAACGAAATTTATTGTCGACTTTGGGATGCAAAAAATAAGAGCGGTGACCATTCCAATTGAATATGTCTGGGCAATATTAATATAATTACGAATGGAATCATGTGACAACAGCTGTGGTGTTATGCAAATACTGCTCTATGATGTGGAGATGCTGGCTGATGTCTGGCAGAGGTTTGGGTTGGATAAAAATTGTAGTTGTTGTAATTATGTGTTGTAAAATATGATATATTGCAGAACCGTTAAAACTCGCTTATTCTAAGACTATTTTTTTCCTGCATCTAATTTAATTAACTTATTTCCCATCTATTCCCTTTTTGTCCTCATTCATGCGAACGGCATTCATTCAGGAATCCGCTCTTCCTTGCATCATTAGGAAATAATGCAACCTAAACCAAAAGGAAATGGAGTCATTAAAAAGTCACTTTGCATGCAGGAACATCTCATTTAGCGTATACGGCCGGAGGCCACAGACTCATTGGTTATCCTTCCCCTTTTTCCAGCTGGAAATTCGAAACGCTGCACGACGATACATCCTTGCCTCGCTGCGATGCAGAACAGCGGGAGGCCCTGCACAAACTTGTGATTTTGCATCAATATTATTACGGAGATGCATTTGTGACTTTGTAATTGGCACTGACGTTGGTTGTTGCCATTGCAAACGTGAGCTTTGTCAGGATAGGAGCACTAATCGGAAAAGGAGATTGTGGTGTTGCCTCCACCAACACACATACACACACGTGCCCACACCGAACATCCTGCAATGAAAACATACCCTACTGTTGTTGTATGGTTTCGATTGAGCGGAGCAACACTGGTTCCTCGTTGCATGCCAGCCTCATTGACTGCCGGTGGAGATTAAGTCAAGTTGTCATATATGTAGCACCACAGGTTTTACAGTTTATGTAAGCTTAAAAATTAGATAATATGCAAAACACTAGAGACCCCACATTCCTGGCACGCCCTTTTCGCTGGCTGTCGTCGAAAAGGTTGTTGCATTTGTTTTTGGCGTTGCCAAGGACGGTGATGATGATGGTTGTGGTGATTCTGATTATGAATCATTGCTCCATACTTGACAAAGCGTTCGGAGATTTATTGACGTGGGGTTCATGAAACAAAATTTTGCAAAGACATTGCCGATTTATGTAAATATGTATATAAGTTGCCACTGTTAATAAGGCTTAGAAGGTCACGAGTGTTAAAAAGTGAAATGACAAGTTCCTGATGTCTGAGACAGAATTACTAAGAAATTTAGGGAATATTTTCAAGAAAAATATCTGTTGAGATTATCGTAGATATAAAATGGTTGCATTTTGGTTTCTAAAATCAACTGATGAGAAAAAATACGATAAAATCAGTATTTAAAGGTTTTATCGCCATGTAAGAAGCAATATAAGTTTGAAAAAACTAAAGTAAGAAAAACTCTGGTACTAATGTAGAGAAAATAATGCAGTATTGGAATTTTCAAACCTCTCGGTTCTTACCACAAAAATTTTTTAATAAAAAAAAATCATGTAATCATGTAACTAGTTTCTGACCTACAAATTAGGATTGTATATAGTATAGTATAGAATAGTATAGTATAGTATAGTATAGTATAGTATAGTATAGTATAGTATAGTATAGTATAGTATAGTATAGTATAGTATAGTATAGTATAGTATAGTATAGTATAGTATAGTATAGTATAGTATAGTATAGTATAGTATAGTATAGTATAGTATAGTATAGTATAGTATAGTATAGTATAGTGTAGTATAGTATAGTATAGTATAGTATAGTATAGTATAGTATAGTGTAGTATAGAGTAGTAGAGTATAGTATAGTATAGTATAGTATAGTATAGTATAGTATAGTATAGTATAGTATAGTATAGTATAGTATAGTATAGTATAGAATAGTATAGTATAGTATAGAGTAGTATAATATAGTATAGTATAGTATAGTATAGTATAGTATAGTATAGTATAGTATAGTATAGTATAGTGTAGTATAGAGTAGTAGAGTATAGTATAGTATAGTATAGAATAGTATAGTATAGTATAGAGTAGTATAATATAGTATAGTATAGTATAGTATAGTATAGTATAGTATAGTGTAGTATAGTATAGTATAGTATAGTATAGTATAGTATAGTATAGTATAGTATAGTATAGTATAGTATAGTATAGAATAGTATAGTATAGTATAGAGTAGTATAATATAGTATAGTATAGTATAGTATAGTATAGTATAGTATAGTATAGTATAGTATAGTATAGTATAGTATAGTATAGTATAGTATAGTATAGTATAGTATAGTATAGTATAGTATAGAATAGTATAGTATAGTATAGAGTAGTATAATATAGTATAGTATAGTATAGTATAGTATAGTATAGTATAGTATAGTATAGTATAGTGTAGTATAGAGTAGTAGAGTATAGTATAGTATAGTATAGAATAGTATAGTATAGTATAGAGTAGTATAATATAGTATAGTATAGTATAGTATAGTATAGTATAGTATAGTATAGTATAGTATAGTATAGTATAGTATAGTATAGTATAGTATAGTATAGTATAGTATAGTATAGTATAGTATAGTATAGTATAGTATAGTATAGTATAGTATAGTATAGTATAGTATAGTATAGTATAGTATAGTATAGTATAGTATAGTATAGAATAGTATAGTATAGTATAGTATAGTATAGAGTAGTATAATATAGTATAGTATAGTATAGTATAGTATAGTATAGAATAGTATAGTATAGTATAGAGTAGTATAATATAGTATAGTATAGTATAGTATAGTATAGTATAGTATAGTATAGTATAGTATAGTATAGTATAGTATAGTGTAGTATAGAGTAGTAGAGTATAGTATAGTATAGTATAGAATAGTATAGTATAGAGTAGTATAATATAGTATAGTATAGTATAGTATAGTATAGTATAGTATAGTGTAGTATAGTATAGTATAGTATAGTATAGTATAGTATAGTATAGTATAGTATAGTATAGTATAGTATAGTATAGTATAGTATAGTGTACTATAGAGTAGTAGAGTATAGTATAGTATAGTATAGTATAGTATAGTATAGTATAGTGTAGTATAGAGTAGTAGAGTATAGTATAGTATAGTATAGTATAGTGTAGTATAGTATAGTATAGTATAGTATAGTATAGTATAGTATAGTATAGTATAGTATAGTATAGTATAGTATAGTATAGTATAGTATAGTATAGTATAGTGTAGTATAGAGTAGTAGAGTATAGTATAGTATAGTAGAGTATAGTATAGTATAGTATAGTATAGTATAGTATAGTATAGTATAGTATAGTATAGTATAGTATAGTATAGTATAGTATAGTATAGTGTAGTATAGAGTAGTAGAGTATAGTATAGTATAGTATAGTATAGTATAGTACAGTATAGTATAGTATAGTATAGTATAGTATAGTATAGTATAGTATAGTATAGTATAGTATAGTATAGTATAGTATAGTATAGTATAGTATAGAATAGTATAGTATAGTATAGAGTAGTATAATATAGTATAGTATAGTATAGTATAGTATAGTATAGTATAGTATATAGTATAGTATAGTATAGTGTAGTATAGAGTAGTAGAGTATAGTATAGTATAGTATAGTATAGTATAGTATAGTATAGAATAGTATAGTATAGTATAGTATAGAGTAGTATAATATAGTATAGTATAGTATAGTATAGTGTAGTATAGTATAGTATAGTATAGTATAGTATAGTATAGTATAGTATAGTATAGTATAGTATAGTATAGTGTAGTATAGAGTAGTAGAGTATAGTATAGTATAGTATAGTATAGTATAGTATAGTATAGTATAGTATAGTATAGTATAGTACAGTATAGTATAGTATAGTATAGTATAGTATAGTATAGTGTAGTATAGAGTAGTAGAGTATAGTATAGTATAGTATAGTATAGTATAGTATAGTATAGTATAGTATAGTATAGTATAGTATAGTACAGTATAGTATAGTATAGTATAGTATAGTATAGCATAGTATAGTATAGTACAGTATAGTACAGTATAGTACAGTATAGTATAGTATAGTATAGTATAGTATAGTATAGTATAGTAAATTATAATATAGTATAGTATAGTATAGTATAGTATAGCATAGTATAGTATAGTATAGTATAGTATAGTATAGTATAGTATAGTATAGTATTGTATAGTATAGTATAGTATAGTATAGTATAGTATAGTATAGTATAGTATAGTATAGTATAGTATAGTATAGTATAGTATATAGTATAGTATAGTATAGTATAGTATAGTACAGTATAGAGTATAGTATAGTATAGTATAGTATAGTACAGTATAGTACAGTATAGTACAGTATAGTACAGTATAGTATAGTATAGTATAGTATAGTATAGTATAGTATAGTATAGTATAGTATAGTATAGTATAGTATAGTATAGTATAGTATAGTATAGTATAGTATAGTATAGTATAGTATAGTATAGTATAGTATAGTATAGTATAGTATAGTATAGTGTACTATAGAGTAGTAGAGTATAGTATAGTAT